TTGATATCATAAGTGTACCTTAATGGCGAGAAGAAATATTTTTTATTGTTCCCGAACACAGGGACTCGGTTAGCAGATTAAACAAATTTCAATCAATGTTTTTTTAAAGTTTTTGTTAATATTTCCTGTATATTTGTATTACTTTATTAACGTATTTGACGATGGCATCAATATTTCTTTGTTTTCTAGCAATGTGCAGTTCACTATCCATAGGATGTTTCAGTATACGGATATGGATAGTAAACTGCACATTGCTAGAAAACAAAGAAATATTGAAGCTATCGTCAAATACGTAAATAAAGTAATGCAAATAGTCAGGAAATACTGAAAAAAAATTAAAAAACATTGATTAATTTTTTTTTTAATCTGCTAACCGAGTCCCTGTGTTCTCGACCCGTTATTCCCCTAATTGTTAAACACCTCGAAAATGACTACTCTGGTGTTGTTTTGTGTTTATTTTATCAATAATAGTCTCGCACTTCAGACGCAAAATCGTGCGTGTAAATGTAAAACAACACGACAACTTCAACCTGTCTGGTATTCCGATTATCGTAATAAGTATTCATTCTTTAAAAGCAAAATAACGATATGCAAGGATGTGTAATCATAGACAATATTGGACAAAATAGGCAACATTAGACATTTTCAGCAAAATGCATTGAGTGTGTAGGTAAAGGTAATATTTTTGGTTAGCTTGCTTGCTAGCTGAACCGTGAAGTCATTATTATGTTAGGTAAACTACCCTCCTTTAAGAATAGACTATCCGACAGATAACCAATCTATCTGTCTGTAGGACTAGACTACTCCGAAAGGAGGGTAGTATACCTAACCTAATAATGACTTCACGGTTCAGCAAGCAAGCTAACCAAATATTCTACCTTTGCCTACACTCAATGCATTCTGCTGTAACCAATGTTACTGTAAAACCAATTGTGTATAGTTATCTTTCCAAAATCATTGCCTGTACAGCCTTGCGATGAAAAATTATTTAATAGTGTAAACACATTTTTCATATCAGAAGCATTTTTTAAATTTCTATCATGAATAAAACAAATTTAACAAAATCGGTAATTGGACTATTATCAACAGAAAACCCGGCTTTCCATATTTTTTCAGCGATAAAAACGAGATTGAAATGTGAATTTACATTTGAAACGAATTTTCATGATATATTGTTTTGAATTTTTTGTTTTTGGTCAAACTATAAATGATATGTATAATAAGAGAATATATAGCACAATTGACAGATCAATGACTATCTGTAAATGGGAAATGCTGCTTATATATATATATATATATCAGAGTAAAGCGGATTTGCTCCTCTGAGGAGGCTGTCACTAAACGGTTACAGGAACTTCGCGGTTTTTGACCAAACGAGGTTATAAGAAATTGGACATAGATAAGGGATTTGCGCGTGCTAATAACAACAGCCGCAATGACCTATTACAGTACAAACAGAAGAGGCGCAGCAAAATAGTTCCGTTTGTTTTAACATACAATCCCGCCTTTACTAACCTTTCACGTTTGATCCGTGCCAATTGGCAAACTATTGCCAAGCACCCAAAATTGTCCAAGATCTTTCCCAATCCTCCTGTCTTAGCTTTTCGGAGACCAGCAAGTCTGAAAGACTTATTTGTGAAAGCTGACGTCTCTTCTAATAAAAGCTGTTCAACTGCAGGATGGTGCAAGTCGTGTGGTAACAGACGATGTCTGACTTGCCAACAAATACTGAATACTCAAACATTTACTTGCCACTCCACTGGGTCTGTGTACACTATATTTTATAATGTAACTTGCAAAACACAGAATGTTGTATACCTTCTTCAGTGTCGATGTGGCATGCAGTATATTGGCGAGACAGAACAGCCATTCAACAAACGCATGAATGGTTATCGAAGTGACTACACCTGCAAGCCCGACCTCCCCGTAAGTCGTCATTTGAGATCACCTGGGCACGCCCAAGCTGATCTCAAAAACCTTACAATCACAATCATAGACCACAACGAGGGTTGGTCAGGGGCCGAAAGACTTGCTCGGGAAAGGTTTTGGATAAGAAAGCTAAGGACAGTTTCCCCAGAGGGCATTAATGAAAAAACATAGAATGAGTCACTAATTTTCCCTACCATCACTCTTTTCCTGACATCATTTGTTTCCAGTTACTCCGGCTTCCTTACTTGACCCTTACAGTTTTAAGGATTCTTTTGGAATTTTTTGAGTTTTACTAGTTTAAATACCAGGGTTCTTTTCATTTGGTAGGGATGTACAAGTACGCATCCACGTCCAATTTTTTAACCTTATCCCAAATTTACTATTTTTTTTTCTTTTCATTATACAACTGCTATTTATTTGGGATGATAAAAGCCTCTGTTTGACATATTTTACCAGCTTATATCGATCAGTGCTGTTTTTTTTTTTGGAATTTTAGAGTTGTGCCAGTTCATATCTCTAATTACTATTTTCATTTTAGGCATGTCTTTGAGTCGTTTTTTGGAAATTTTAAAAGTTTATTAGCGTCTCTACATATGATGTTCGGGTGAAACTGTTTCACTTTTTTTTATTGTATATAATTCAAGATTGCTATAGTTTAATAATCAGAATAGATTGATCTGATTCATTTTACATCGTGCTCATACTGATGAAGGATATCTGTTATCCGAAATATTTATAGTTACATTTGTTCGTTTATTGTCATTTTTTGGTGATGTTGTACCCTTTAAGACTGGTTATATATATATATATATATATATATATATATATATATATATATATATATATATATATATGTAGGACTCTGAACCGCGATGGTACTCCGAACCGCGATGATCACGCTGAAGTGCGATGGTCCGCGCTGTTACGCTGAAGTGTGATGGTCTAACTGTGACGTTGACGTTGATTGTTACGAAGAAGTGCAATGGTGTATACTAGCTAAAATGCAATGGTCTGAAGTAAGAACCACATATTTAATGTAGTGGTGTAGTGGTTAGCGTGTTAGCCTCGCATTTGGAAGGTCGATTTTGATTTCTGGTCAGGTGAAACCAAAGATTTTAAAACTTAAATTATCTAATTTTCCACCTAGCATGCAGCAGTATGGAGCAAGAAAATAGACTGGATGGCTCAGATTAAGTATAATGGCTTCGACTGGGAGGACATGTCTTTATATTGAGTGTTCAAGTGCGGTAAAAAAAATAAGCGTGTCGGTCTATAGTACTAAGCAGGGTCCATCTCATTTTATCAAATGTAACTTGTTTTCGTCATGTCATAGCTGAGAAATTACTCACAACAATCATTCGTCCATTTATCTAATGTCGTAACAGTTTTCAAGAGAGAAAAACCGCCAAGTACATTTATGCTTGACTTATGTCGAGACGTGTCACGTGTTCCACCGAAAACTTAAAAATTAGGTGCTTCTACGCTGAGCAGGAGAAATTGGGAAGTACAAGTAGGGACTAGTCGGGTTTATTTCGGCCTAAGTTAACTAGTGGTAGGAGATAAACACTGTAACCACAATAAAATTAGGCTAGAGTGCCGGTTTTCTTACAAAGCAGGATTTATCTCAGGGATAAAACAAAATTATATCAACTTAATATAACAAAAACATTGCTTATTATTAACTTTATTACCTAAATGTCCACATAAAATCATGTGAAGCATACTTGAAGAGAAGTCAATAATTATATTTAGATCAATATAATTTATTTGTCGTACAAAAAGTTTGTGGTATACTTCCGGACACTGGTTAGCCCATCTGCAGACCAAGTTCATCTTTAAGCCGCTTTGCTCCCCACGATTTACTGCCTGACTTGGTTTTAAATATTTTTGTAACCTCCACCTGCATGCACTGCTCATAACTATTCGGGATTTGAATCGTTCGTTACTTTCTTTTTCCTTTCCTTTCCTATCCTTCGTTTGCATGAAATCTTTATTTACAAAATCGTATCCTCCTGTCGCGAATTCAGGTTGTATTCAAAGAAACGTTGTATCTGAAAACGTCACATCATTCAAGCGTCATGCAAACCATCGCACTTCAGCGAAAGGACCATCGTACTTCGGCGCGGATCATTGCACTTCAGCGTGACCATCGCACTTCAGTGTCCCCATCGCACCTCCGAGTCGGCCTACATATATATATACATATCGCTAACTTTCTTTCTTTCTACTAGTTTCGTTGGAGTGTAAATACATGATTTCGTGTGTTAGTCCCAGATGATTCATTTAGTTAACTTGTGTCAACTTCATGTATGATCCTGAAGACTAAGTCGATATTTGTTTATACTTTACTGTATTTATAAATAATCACTGGTCCCTCGCTCTCAGTGTCTCAAAATAGTAAGTTTATTGTCAAGTTAGTCGTTATAAATTCCTGAACTATTCTAGTTATCTCAGTATGTTCTAAAACGAAGTGAAACTTGGTCTGTTCTCTGTCCAATTACCAGACACTTCTTCTCTCTATAACCTTTAAATAAGATCGGAAATATTTTAATAATATGATATATTGTCATGTACCGTGTCTGGCTATATTAGACAAGTATGTGCTATAGACCTGTCTTAATTATTATCCCGACATATATACCTTTTTTTTGTGAGGTTGCACAAATACAGTATTTGTATTTATGTTAAAAAAAATATGTTTTAAAAGGGTTTTAAGCTGACCCAAAGATAACTCCCGATAAAAAAATAAGAAAATGACACTCCCTTCCATAAAACGGCAAATTAGTTGTTTACGAGTTAGAGTGTTCTCCCCTCAATGATATCCATTCGCGTATATATTTTTGCACTACTTTCTTCCAACAATAAACACTACAGATTTTTTCTGGAATACAGATTTTAATTGATATTTTAAGTAATCATTGTAGCAGCTTTGTTCCTATATTGACAATTAATCTCGAGGAATATATGTTGTTGCAAAATAAAACGTATTCATAGGGAAATCGTTCGATAATTAGATTGTAAGATTTACATTTTATATCGGATGGATATTTTGTTGACTCATATAAATATCAACGTTGCTGATCAGCGGGTAGTTGTCGCGTAGACAGCAGACGAAGAACTTCACGCTAATATGATCTTTGACTTTTCTAAAATTATTAGTTTTGATAAAATTCTCTACGTCTATGAATGTCAACGGCTCAGCGATGATGGAAGCGGACTTTTCACGGGGTGACGAAAAAATGGAAACAATAAATCCGCTAAGAGAAGTCCCAGAGGGGGAAAAGGAAAATCGAAACTCCTGTGGGGCGCCCCATGGAGTTGGGGCAGTGGACGGGAACCACTCTGAAAATATTGACATATGCGAGAAAAAGAAGAAACGAAGGAGGCGTCCGAAGGGTGGTATGAAACATAAGAAATACAAACCTTATGACAAATTAAGTTGGAGTGAAAGACGGGATTTGGAAGAAAAGGAAGCAGTTCGTGCAAATCAGAAAAGGGAGGATGCATTTAAACACGGACATCCAGTTGCACCGTACAATACTACCCAATATTTAATGGAGGATCATATTAAAAATGAGGAAATTAATCCAGATTTGCATTTAGAAGGACACTGTCATAGAATTAATTCTAGAGAGTCACGAGAAGGTTCCGGTGGGGGCACTGATTCTTCCGAAGAATCATTTACTTCTACAGAAGATGAAGAAATTGAAAACGACAGTTCTTATCAGGAACATCAATTCACTGAGACATATGATAATATGGCAGCAGAAAGATTAAGAAATATGAGCAAAGATGAATTAATCAAAGATTATGTTGAACTTGAATCTAAACTTGATCGACTGGAAAAAAGGTACAGAAGGCGTCAGATGCGTTCCAAAAGTGGTGAAAGTTCGGGTTCGCTCAGTTCTGGGGGAGAGGAGTTTATGGATTTTGATGAAGTAAAAAAATTTCAAGAAGAAAACCGAAGATTAAAGGAAGAAAATGAACTGTTAAAAAAAGAAATTGGAAAGTTATCAGATCATGGATCTAATTAAAACTGAAGATTTTGACTTGTGAGTTAAGAAGAAGGAACTCTCGAGGTGCTGATAAATTTTATGTATAAATTTGTAGATTTTCCTCTTTTGAGTATATTTTATCAAATTTTTAACGATTATCTTTGAATTTTAAATAGATAAGTTCAGACATAGATGACTAGAAAATATTGCCGATATATTTCTATGTTAAAATTTGTTTCATCAGCTTTTTTTTCTATAAATGCAATGCCAATGGTAAAAGATTGAAACATTTTTAATAAAAAAAATTTCTTCAGAAATTTTTAGTTACTTTAAAATTTATGGAAACAAATTAGGTGTTCAATTTTTTAAAATGATAATTAGTAACTATTGGAAAATTCTGTTCACTCTGTCTGTCTCAGATAAGATTTTACTCTTATAACATGTTATTGTATGATGCTTTATTGAGTTTAATATTGTTTATTTGATGTGTATACATATGGATGTGTACATTTGTACATGTAATATTGCTTCTTTAGGGCTAAATCTAGTCCAAAGGGGGTTTTATTATTTTATTATTTTAAATTATATGGGCATTACTATACATGTATATACATATACTAAAATGTTGAAAAGGGAAAGTTGGTAATAATAATGATCCAGCAAATAGTGCCATCAATGTAGTTACAATTTTGAAATTGTTGACTCTGTTAATATTTGAATTAAAAATTTTTCTTCCCAAATGTAAAAAATAATCTTCCCAAATGTTAAAAATAAGTGTGTACTTAATGCTTACAAAAAAAATCTCAGCAAAATTTTAAAATGCAATTTTTTGGCTTACAATTACAAATTAAACTGAGTCAACAATTAAATTGAGTTACATTGCGATACATGTATCTTGGAATAATTCCTAGAATTCCATTTTTTTTAAAACATGTGCATGTAGATTGTTATTTAAATTTGAAAAATTATTAGGTGTTGCATTTATTGTCTTTTGACAAATTTTATTTTTATATATTTTCGCACATATTTGTGTACTCATACATTGCCATTTAGTCTTTCCTTTTTCAATCATGTCCATGAACATATTTGTATGCGATTTTTTTTTTATTAGTTTCTTGACATCTTGACCTTGTTTCTTATAGCTATTTTTTTTAAAATAATATACATATATGTATGACTATTTGATTTTTTAGTGGAAGAATTATCATTTTGGCTGGTGTCATCACGTAATAAAATATCCCTGCCAATTTACAATATGGAATTTGGAATAATGTTAATATTTTTGGATAAAGTGATAGATTGTCCATGTGCAAAAGCAAAAAAAAACAATAATTTTACATTATGCATACTTTCTTTGGCTTCGTTCAAGTAACTTGTAACAGAGATTGTGATAAAAGGAAATTTATTGAAAAATATTACAGCGGTCTCTTGTACAGTGCTTGAGGTTTTTTTTTCATCAGAAAATCCCAAAATACATTTCGTTTTTTCTTAATGTCAAGTTTGATTTAAACTTCTTTATTTGGCACATTTTAATTAATGTCCAGGTAAAATACATGTACTAGAACCTTTGTGCAAGTTTGGTTGATAATTAATATCATGTCATGATTACAAATGTAACTCTTAAAATATTGTTTAAAATAAACAAACACATGAGAAATAAACATGATAAAGGAAAACATTTAAAAGACAAAGATAAACATACCAAATTCTTGATTAGAACTAAAATAGGATTCCTGGTTCAAAAATTAGAGAACTTTTTTTAATAAAAGTTGAATATCTAAATAGAGGGAATCAAAACATTTTTGTAGTTAGTTTGTTTATTTTCTGTTTATGTCGTTTTGTACATGTACATACTATATCATACTTGTTGCACTACATTGTTTGTTATGTCTTTTTTAATTGAATGAAGTTGAACATCAATGATCATGTAGCATCAGATCTATGGTTGATGCCATCCTGTATGTCAAACATACTGTCTTCATGTTAAACTTTTTCACAGACTTGCAATAGGGGCAAGTTAAGTGGTTACTTTATATGTATCTAAACATATTCTATACAAACTTCATAAAGCCTGATAAATAAGTGTAAGGATTCACCATATTACAGATATTTTCTCAAGGTTTGATTAATGATAAAAAAGAAGGCTGTCATGGTATAAAAGATATTCAAATATTTTTAACATCCAGAAGACAAAGTTACTTTTAGTATTAAAAAAAAAAAAACCTTCAAAAGAAAATAAGACCCTGTTTCACTTCAATGTTTCCTATTTTGAAATCTTTTCATAAATATCACAATATTTACAAACTGAAAATATTTTTAGTATTTCATTAAACTTGTCATCACTTTTGATTCAAAATTTTAGTAATTTCACATGTTATTTAACATAACACATGAAATTGTATTTATAAAAATGCCAATTACACCACCAGTGTAAGGGAGATTTAGATATACACTGTAGGTTGCAGCTGCCTTGATATTGACAGTTATAAATTCAATATCAGTATACATGTATTTTAAACCATTTTATAGCTTTTATGGTTTGAGAAAATTTAATAATGAATTTGAAGTTCAAAGAGAAAGAAAGTACAAATGTATGAATTACAAACTAAGTTAACTTGCCTTTGGTGTGCTCAGCTTTTACTTATAGAATCAAATTCTAAACATATAATACTAAAAACATGTCAAAAATACCAGGATGGAAATTGATGTCTACAAACATGAATAAAAATAGTTTTCAATGGAGGCCCAATGTGGGAGAAAATGCCAATCAAAATCTATGCAAAAGTACTGTCTTTTACTTACTTGTTATCTAAATAAAAAAGGACAATACATTTAAATGTCATTGTTTTGTATGAACATTTCTTTAAAACTTATAATTGCTGAATTATTTCATGTTCATTTCATTTTTTGGGCAGCTATTTAAGTCATGGTTAAATGAAGTAAATAAGAAAGAAAAACATACCCATTGCACCTCCATCTGTCATCATGACAACCTTTTTGTGATGTTTTGTCTTTTTTGTTATGGCAAAATGTTTACAATTTACACTGTTAAAGTTTTATTATAAAGTTATAATATAACCAAGGAATACTGTGTTATTATTTTATGAATCCTATTGGACACGGACAAGGAATGCGTTTGTTTCATATCATTTCCATATCCAGCAAAAAAAACTATTTTAATGTACAACCATTTTTTACCTTAATTGAAATAATAGTATATAACAATAAAGAGATGTGATATGATTGCCAATGAGATTATTATATCCACCAGAGTTCAAATGACAAAGATAAAAGCAATTACATGTACAGGTCACTGTACCACCTTCAACAATTAGAAAACCCCATACCCTGTAGTCTGCTATAAAAGGCTCAACATCAGAAATGTGAAACAATGCATGTCATTTTTAGTAAACCAAATTATCTGGAGAAAAGATGTTGGTAGCATAGTGGATGCACAACTTTTAATCCTTGATAGAAGTTCTATGGCAAAAAAATGTATAAGGACAATTTCATTCATTTAAAATATAAATAAAAGGAAATGTGGGGTATATGTCAATGAGAGTAATCCAACAACGAAAATACCCAAAAGACATCCTTGAACAGTCGTCAAACAGTATGTCATGCTCTTATCGCCACAAGTCTAGAAAAATTGTGATAAAATATATGCCATAATGGGAGACTAGTGAAATTCTGCCAAAATACTGCTTCAGAATCAGTAAATACAGGTATTATGTTCCTTATACTTTGCTCTAGACTGGATTGATTTATGGAATAGCAGGATTAATATATCTCGTGGCTAAATGATTGAAATGTAAAAATTGTGAGAAGCCGGTGGCTCAAGGTTTTTATTGTTCAATAAGCTTATGAATACAAGGAGATGTTGGGTATACGTCAATGAGTCTGCAATCTAATGACACAAAAACCCATGACGGAGATGCTAGTCCATCGATGGTGTAAACAATTTGTAGAAAGCTTTATTCTTTCTAAGGTTAAAGACTTGGATACTTCATATCTTGTATATAGATGCATAATGGTTTGTGTGTGTTTGTCATGTGCATTGTCCTTGACCTCATTTTCTTGGTTTAGCCAATGTTTCTGATTATATTTAATTGTGAATTTCTCACTTGTGAGTTCTATAACAATTTGGTATATGGAACCCCTGCAAGGTCACCAGGTCTATTAATCAGGGTTCACCTAACCTTGACCTCATTTCATGGATCAGTGATCTGTTTTTCAGTCAAATCCGTCTCTTAGATATTGTAAGCAATAGGTCAACGAAGTTTGGTGTGGAATAATTGGTAGGTGTACATGTCCATCTGTCAGTTCACTAGACAATGTTTAGTTTTCCTGGTTAGGTCCATATCTTGAATAATATTATATTTGTTGTATAGAATGATAGTAAGGTGCACATTCCGTCTGGTAGGGTTCATCCGATTTTGACCTCTTTATTTTTGGTTCATTGGTCAAATGTTTTTGTGGTTTGGTCTATTTCTCATACACAAATTATAGCAATGGACGAACTACATTTGATATAAGGTGTATATGTTTCATTCTGTCCAGCAGACTTCATCTGACCATGACCTCATTTTCATGGTCATTGTTACGTATGTGATACTTGTAGAACCTTTTATCTTGGGAGATTTTAAAAATAAAATAATTTGATCATGATCAATCAAGTGCGTGGGACATTACTCACAGAATGCTTGTTTAAATATGTTTCTACGTTTGGATCTGGTGTAGAAGATTGATAATGTTTATGTTATTTATATTGAAATTCAATTTTATTTTTTGTTTTCTCTGGCTCATTAAGTGGTAATTAAGACTCCTAAAAGGATGTAGTACTTCAGATTATGGATGAGCTAAATATACATGGAAACAGGATTTTTCTTCAAAATATAAAACAAAAGGCTTTTAGATTGACAGCAAACTGGATTTTCCTGCATCAAAATGATATTTGCAAATCTGGACCCCCATACTGGATCAAGTAAAAAAATAAATGAATTTTTTGAGGGTTCAGAAATGGAAAGGCCAAAATCAATCGACTTCCTATAATATTGGAATTTAAGAGAGCATATAAGTACACATACATTTGTTCCACAGGGGTGGGTGGGTGGGTAGGCAGAAATCATGAAGTCAATAATGAAAGAAATATATTATGAGATTATAACCTTATTTACTATGAAACCATAGAATCTTGTGGTCACTCAAATTTCCAGTAACCCACTTCAATGATCGAATTTTGGAATGCACTGTATGTCTATAGGATTTTGTACTGGCATTAGTTAAATCTGTTTTTCACAACAGCATATCAGTCTGTCAACATCACTATACAGACTACTGCAGCAATAAATACAGATAAAATTTAGTTGCATAAATGGCAAGAGTGCACTTTTTGGTGTGTGAAAAAATGTTTGTTGTTCTTTTTGAAAAAGTAAAATTTTCCAAGCACCTAGTTTTGTATACCTGGTAAATCTAATATGAAATTGGGCAAGTTTCAATTTTAATTGAATGAAGTTGAACATCAATGATCATGTAGCATCAGATCTATGGTTGATGCCATCCTGTATGTCAAACATACTGTCTTCATGTTAAACTTTTTCACAGACTTGCAATAGGGGCAAGTTAAGTGGTTACTTTATATGTATCTAAACATATTCTATACAAACTTCATAAAGCCTGATAAATAAGTGTAAGGATTCACCATATTACAGATATTTTCTCAAGGTTTGATTAATGATAAAAAAGAAGGCTGTCATGGTATAAAAGATATTAAAAATATATTTTTAACATCCAGAAGACAAAGTTACTTTTAGTATTAAAAAAAAAAGAACCTTCAAAAGAAAATAAGACCCTGTTTCACTTCAATGTTTCCTATTTTGAAATCTTTTCATAAATATCACAATATTTACAAACTGAAAATATTTTTAGTATTTCATTAAACTTGTCATCACAAAAAATGTTTGTTGTTCTTTTTGAAAAAGTAAAATTTTCCAAGCACCTAGTTTTGTATACCTGGTAAATCTAATATGAAATTGGGCAAGTGGAAACATATGGCGTTTAAATTAATGCAGCTGTCCTGGATTAAACTTAAATGCACAACCACCAAAAATTATGCAGACATGTAGTCAATTAAGTTGAAATAACATGAAAATTTGAAGACAAGTAGATATGGTATTATCAATGAGACAATATCCCAAAAATACCATGAGGGACACCTTTTGCAAACAACAATTAATACTTGGTAGACAAGACTCATAAGTCAGTGACAATTGATTCTAACCACTGTTTGTGTCATACATCACAAAATTCTTCAGGATTTGTGTTTGCTGTAGGAAAATGTGTGTCATGTGAAATAGCAGATCAACAAGTTTTAACTTGCAAGGTGATTTAAAAATTTGAGGTGGATAATTCTGCTACACTGTACTTGGTTCAAGGTAGGCCCAACTCATCTTTTCTTCTCCTGTGTGTTGTATAGTTGAGAAAGTATTTGAATACTAAGACTCTATCTTCAGTATTGACATACAGTTTTAACTTTATTTCAACAAGCATTCTGCGAGTATTGCCTGGCAATACATAGTCCCCTACCGCTTAAAAATTCATTGTACTGGAACAAAATGCTAATTTGATCCATAACTTGTCATGGTGTAAACTATATAACAAATATCAAGTCAATATCTTCAAGCATGAAAATTGATTATTTGAGTGAATTTTCTAAGTCCAAGGACCATAACTCTGCACAAAATCATCAGACCGGAACACAATTCGAATTTGATCTGTAACTTGTCATGATAAAACTATATACCAAACATCAAATCATTATCTTCAAGCATGACGAAAAAAAGTGAGGAAAACTGATTATTTGAGTGAATTTTCGAAGTCCAAGGACCATAACTCTGCACATAATCATTAGACTGGAAAAAAATTCGAACTTGATCTGTAACTTGTCATGATAAAACTATATACCAAACATCAAATTAATATCTTCAAGCATGACAAAAAAAAGTGCAGAAAACTGATTATTTGAGTGAATTTTCTAAGTTCAAGGACCATAACTCTGCACAAAAATCGTCAGACAGGAACAAAAATTGAATCTGATCTGTAACTTGTCATGATTAAACAATAAAACAAATATCAAATCAATATCTTCAAGCACTAAGAAAAAAGTATGGAAAACTGATTTGCCGGACTGACGGACGGACAGACAGACAGACAGACAGACAGACAGACAGACAGACAGACAGACAGACAGACAGACAGACAGACAGACGGACGGACGGACGGACGGACGGACGGACAGACAGACAGACGGACGGACGATGTGCAAACCTAAAGTTCCCTTCGACTTTGTCGGTAGGGGACTAACTAGCTGATTTACCTAAAACCATGTTGGTAACGGTGTCTTGAGCACTGCCAAAACCCATACTTTTTCCAGTTTAATGAAGCTTTTCAGTCCCCACTTTTTGTTGATTTGAAATTAACATTAAGGTCACCTTGAAGTAGTCTGTACTGGGATTCATCATATCATGAAACAACAGATAACGAGAGATCTTTATCATATGGTACTAGTACACTACCGTATCAAGATACTTGTAAATAAATGAAAGATGTCGGATATGTGGTGATGAGGCAATAGCTTAAAATTGTCCAGAGACCTTGATGAGTGAAAAAATGACAAGATATAATAAGAACTAATTAATGGCAATAATTTTGCATCGATTTGTAAACTTTATTCATAAATCTTCTCCAATTGAAAGCAAATTATAAGTTTTGTTCTGGTTGACCTACTGATCATTGGATTTTATTAAAAGAAGTTTTCTTCTCTGCTGTTGGCTTTCTTTATAGGTATAAGGTTAAAATTGAAAGACAATTATTTCCAGATCTCAAACATTTTCATCTAGTTGACATAATTGCCATTAGACTTGGAAATTAACACCTTTCTCTTCTGTTGTAAGTATGAACAAGAAATGAGATGTCAAATTGACAGGTATTTCTGTATTGTGAAAGTTACCATTGTTGAACTTTATAAGAGTGCAGGTAGATTGAAATAAATTCCCTTTCGTAATCATTTACAAAATACTAAAATTTGAAAAGCCATGGTTGAACGCTTCATTAGGTATTGCATGGACATAAAGTGCCATTTTCTAATCAATTGAGGACCATAACTCCTGAACAGCAAAAGTGAAAATCGTCAATATCAAACTAGACTTCCAATTTGTCCTCAGTAACAACATATTAAAATTTGAAAAGTATTGATTGAATGGATTATAAGCTATTGCATGGACACAACTATGTTGCCTGTCTAAACAACCCTATTCAATAACCAGATTTCAATAACCCAGTTAATAAAAGGAGATGTGAGGTATACATCTATGAGACAGCTATTAAACACAAATATTCAAAACATCTCAAGGGCAACATCGTCTTCATCGCTAAACGGGTATCTATACAAAATGTCAAGATCTAAATCCTCCAGTCTAAAATACTAGCAAAGGAAAAAAGTATTAGCAATAACAATAAAACAGCTTATTTTCTTGTAGAAATAAGATAATTTAATGATGACAATAACATAATTTCACAATCAACAAATCAGAAAAATTGATATAAATTGTGTATAAATAATTATAACCATCCTGTGTACAACGGAGTGCATACATAACAATATCCCTTTTCTGTCACACATAGCTGATTTATCTGCAGTGCACATGCAGAAAGCAAAATTATAAATGAACCAAATTTTGTGTAAATCTAACATTCTTCAGAATACCATATAAATTAGCTTCAGAATAGAGCTAAAAAATCATTGTTTAGTTCCACATTCAACCCAAATTCTAAACTATTTATCATGTGATGCAAAGAAAGGAAAAAGCTTTCTCTATTACACATGGAATTCTCTATTATGTCAATCCTCTTTGATGTAACAACTGACATATGTATTATCTGTAAGTACTGTTAGAATTTCTGTCAGTCAAATATACACACCATCAAGAAATTCAGTGTTGATGATAACCATGACGGTTTCATTAAGAACAAGGAAAACTAGTTTTCTCCACTGATTCAATTGTCCTACCACAGGATTAAACTTTTACTACACCATGTCAAATACAGTATATCTCATCAAGATCTTTTCTTCTTGTCATACATTATTACTATTAATTATATATATTAAGAATAATTACTTTGAAGTTGCTAACTAGTTGCATAAAACTTTTTGACAATAAATCTACTCAACTACAAAAAAAAAAGAGAATTTCTGTGTAAATTTACATTCAAGGGGCAGTAACTCTTACTTTCAATTTTTCTGATGCAGAAAACAAACATTCTATTAGATGTATATTGAGATTGAATGGCAAAAGTTAAAAGCCACCAATACCACAATAGCTGCTATCAGTACATTTTGGGCAGTTGGTTCTGGAAAAAATCAAAATAACTTTATTGTCAAAGTAGACAAAAATCATTGTGACAACATTTGGTAAATAATATTTGCCAATATTATTTGATTGATACAAACAGTCATTAACTTGTTGTTCCGCTTATGTTTCCACTGAAAACTATTTTAAACAGTCAAACCTACAAATTATGTCAGCAAATATTCAAATAAAAAAACAATTTTTCCTAATAAGTAACACTTTTCAAATCAAATTCACTGAATTACTTATAAAATTAAAGAATGAGCAAAAATTCCTAGCAATTCTATTAAAACTTAAAGCTTGATTGTTTTGTTGCTTAACCTCCAACTAAATATATATCATGTATAGATAAGATGGTATTAAGTGATAGCTAATAATAGTATGCATGATCCTTGGAAATTATGTTTATCTTCAAAATTAAGAATATTTAAGAGATGGTGTACAAATAAACATGGCATTCAGCACTATTTAAAAAAATAGCCTAATTCTTATCTTAAACTAATAAATTAACTTCTTAATATGATTTGAAAGTAATGTTATTTGTGAGTTATCAATTTTTGTTAACAAATATTAAAAGCAAAAAGAAATCAATCTGTTACCAAACTCTTCTATAATAAACAAGATTATGATACCACAATTTTAAAGGTTGGGATTCAACTCTTTTCCATAACACATTCAATTCATTTTTCACAAACTTCCAAAGACATTTTTTCTTGTAATTACAATGTAATAACTGCTGACATAGTTTTATGGTTTCTTTTCATTAAAAAAAATATATCTACTGAAAAACAAATTACAAATTGTCCACTATAGCACTATCAGTTGCAAAATTACCAGCCTTAATGCTTAAAACTTACAATGCTAGGAAAAACATCAATGAATAAAATAGAGAAACCAGGGACACTGGATTCTGTTTTTTTAATGTGTCTAAGATGTAAAAAAAAAAAAGCAACTGTATGCACTGAAATAAACAAATAAATTGATAATTTTACTTCCATTAAATAACAGAACAATACACTGACTATGCATATGAACCAATATATTAACGTAACAACAAGGTTTAACAATGTGTGGTTTATACCAAACCATACAAAATCACCATGAAAAACGGAATATAAAAATCACTGCTGTTTATATATAAAATCATTAACGCCACTGTGGTTGTTGTGGATAGGGAGGATTTTGGTACTGTCCTGGATATGGCTGTTGTTGTCCTGGATACTGTAAAGGTTGTTGCCCAGGATAAGGCTGTTGTCCTGGATAAGGAGGTTGCTGTTGTCCTGGGTATGGTTGCATGTATGGGTTATATGCATTAAACCCTGATGGCATGGCCGGCATAGACATACTCAGTGGATATGGTGTCTGTCCCCAGGCACCAGGTTGTCCTACAAAGTAAGATACAAAATAAAATTGTGAAAACTCAAATCATGTGGAATAATGAAACATAAAGAACAAACATATTTCAGGTGTCAAAAATTTGGACATATAAAAAATAGAACTTTTATTTTATAATTAGTACATGTAGTTGCATTTAACCTTGGGTGATATTCAGATAAGAATTTTTTGTTAATTTTCATAGACAATGACAAGACTTAGCTTGCAATAGCTCTTGAGAAAAAATACTAATATCTCCCTTTATATTACCATGATTACCTTATATTACCTAAACTATCAGTACAAACATGGCTTATGCATTCATAAAAAAGATATTGGATTTGTATTTATAAGCTATCAAATGTCACCAGTCAACAGATGCAGATATCGCATTGAAACCTGTATATCCCTACTCAATAATTTTGTTGTATTTAACATGTGAATTCAGAAATTAATGTGATAAATGTGACAGGATGACCATCTCATTAAGGAATTTAATCTCAAACCTTAATATTTGCTAGTAATATTTACTTCAATAATATTCAAGAACTATATCAAACAATATCACAATATTGTAGACTGTTGAAGATTCACAATAACAAATGTATGCATTAAATTCTTAAATTTACGACAATAAAAAAAATTACAGCTAAAGTTCTCATTCATTTAGTCTCTGGTGATTGCTGAAGGGTAACAAATTCAACATGTTGATGAAAATTTTAAAAAGGCAGTGATAAGGATAAGCATTTGGTGAATTAGATATTATACTCACTTCTGATGTCTTCATTTTGTTTTCCTACATTTTGTGGTGTATATTTAGTAAATTTACGTACTTCTTTTGTTTAATCAAATTGTGCATCATTTTTTTAGTTGTAAGTATGCTTTAAAAGTTTATTAGAGTTTTTCAAAAATGCTTGTATGCATTCAAGATTTTTTTGTTAACAATATATCAATAGTACAATATTTTTCATAATTAATCATATAGTAGGTGTTAACATCTGATCACATACCCAGTACTATTGGTTCCACTTTGTTTGAAATCTTTTTGGTAAAACATGTTGAGTTTAATAATTTTGAAATCATAAAGTAAAATGGTGATAATTTTTTATGCCAGATGTTATAGTTGCTTCAAAAATATTTCACTTAGTTGTAAAATATTTTTTTATTTTCATAATAATAGTCAGGTACTTAGCTTACCTGAAACTCTGAAGAAGATCCAATTTGGAGTTAGAATGAATACCACATTGTTTCTGTTGCAATAAATGCTTTTTACGGTACCCTTTACAATTTCATTCATTTGAGGATAGTTTTGAAATAATTCTAAAATCTATGTTTTACATCAACTAAATGCTGTCATTTACTCACCATAGCTCTGTTGTGCTGGTTGTTCATGTGGGGGAGGAGCATTGGCTGCAAAATAAGGAATTAAGAACAATCTTAATAAAAGTGATTAAAATGTCGAATAATTATCTTTTCTAATAGAATAACTCTAGAATTGTAATAGCTACCACTTTGTATTATCTAAGAACATCAAGAACTTTGTTCCATACAAACTAAAGTAACTATCTGTTATGAAAATAAACGATTTCAACAATACTGGCTTAACTCAATGAAGTCACTGCAGTGATAGTAGCGAAATAAATCCTGACCGTTAATTTTACAGTATAAAGCATATATGAAAGTAGATGATTATTTGTATCAAATTAATTCAATAGGTTAGTGGTGATGTATACCCCTATCTAGTCTTTTGTATTGCTTGTTTCAAAATGATAATGTTTGACCTCTCAAAAGAACTTAACATCCTCAACCTGCTTAGTGGCATTACTACAATGTGTGTTGTTATGGTTTTTTGCCTTTATTTAGTTTGCTAGCAAATTTCTTTTTCTCCATATATGTTTTGTAGATGTCCTGTTTATTTTTTTAGATTTAGGCAGTTATTCCTTTATGTTCAGGTGGATTTATTGTAGGCTATCAAGAACGGAAGGCTACAAGGTCCCCAATGTTACGAAAAATACTGACCTGAGGAGTGTTATTTATGCTTTTCTTTTTTTTTATTTCAGAATAAGATTTGCTGTTCTCATAAGGGTCTCATTGCTTCATTTATGACATCAGTAAATGTACCTTATAACCAGATGTTTACTTGTATTGAGCAACAAAATGGATGCCAATAGTGGAGCAGAACCTTCCTTAGCATACAAGTTCAATCCCACTTTATGGTGGGTTGGTGTTGCTCATTCCTTAGCTTTCAGTGTTATGTCTTGTGGATTCATATTGTTTTTAATGTTTGTCTTTTTTCTTTTGGTAATTTTCAGTTTATAGTGTTTTCCAAAAGCCAGATTTAGTATGGTTAAAGTTCACTGGCCTTTCATAGCAGAACCTTACTGCCTAATGTACTTCTCTCTTAGTGCAATTCATTTTTCAGTAAATTTTGTTCAAACTTTTTCACTTCCCTATTGTTTTCTTTTAAATGCTCAGAGCAAATTGTAAGTCTTTTTAGTACACAGTTAGCTATTTTTTTTGTATTCTTCGCTATAGTAGTTGGAAATACCATATTATGTGCTTTTTTAGTGAAATTTAAATCCCCTTTCAAGTGCAAAAGTTCTGGCAGAAAGCACCAATTCAAATGCATGATCTTTCCATATTTTACCAGTATGTGACTCATTATATTTTGCATTTCTTACATATATGTGTTTAAAAATCAAGAACTTTATCTTCTCATGGTAATGCTACATGTATGTATGATTGGATAATGAATTGTTCCAGATGACGATGAAGACCTCAACGAAAAATACTTATTTTGCCAGGATGTTAACACAAAGTTTTAGCAGACTACTTAAAGTTTTAGTTTTCATAACAGATATTAGTCTGGGAATAAAACATAAGCTCAGCTGGCTAATGCCAAAAGTCATTGTGTGGTTTTTCTTTAAATTAAAGATAGGGTAGTCATTGTAAATTTTGTCTTATGTAGACATGGGTAAATTAGGCTAAACATGAATTATTTTTTACTTGGAGTTTAAATGAAAGGTGATGTGGAATGAACATGAATAAGCCTTTAATGAAATTTAGCTTAATTTATCTTAACATTTTAATCAAAAGCTTTCTTTTGTGATCTGTATATACCAAATACAATGATCAAATAATGATTTTAATGACTTGCGAAAAAATAATATGCATTCCTTTGAAATTTGGGACTGGATTCATTTAATTAAGTGGATTGAGGAAAAGTTGTACTTCTGGGGATACTTGACTTAATGGTTTTCATATTTCTGCAGACAAGTCTTAAGGTAATTTGTTTTTATTAAACAATGAAATTTGTGGATAATATATACCCAAGAACTTCAAGAAAAGTATTACCCCAATTGTAATTATGAATACACTGTAAGCATGCAGAAATACACATGAATTTTCTGGTTTTTTTTTTCCATGTAACTGAACAGTTCATTCAAACTTGAAAAAGAAAACTAACCCTGTGGCTGATTTAAACCCGGTGGGGCATAGCCAGGTGCTGTTCCTGGTGCAGTATAAGATGGAGGAGGTGGCCTCGGTGGTGGAACTCTACTCTGTGTGGACTCTATACAACACCAATGCAAATAAATAAGGTTAAAAAGCTGTGTACACAAAACTACAAAAATTATAAGTGTAGCCAATTTCTGCTAGTGCAAACTTTGAATAGCAAAACAGTGAAAATAACACGTTACCATAGTTAAAAGATTAAAAATACAAAAAATATACATCTAAGATGAATAGTAAATCAGAAATTAATGTGTGCATAATGTGATAATTGCAAATAGAAAATTTCAATACAAAACATCAATACTTCAATTGTAGATATGAACATGGTATTTATTAAGAATTCTAAAATAATTTGGACTAGGCTTCTTAATGAAGCACACATCTTTTATGTAATATGCACGCTCTTGTTTCCTAGAACATTTTGACTTTTGTGCATGTTCTACAGGACAATTCTTTATGAAAGTGTCTAGTTTTTTAAAAGTAAATAAATGGGGAATGTGTCCATAGAGACACAGATGATGCACCCGCTATCATATAATGATATAAAGGGACATAACTCAAGAACTGTAAAAGTGACTCTTCAAAAAATTGAACTTAAACTGAGTTTTGTGGTAAAAAGCATTATATATACATTTCAATACATTTAGTCGAGACAAACTCTAGTTAGAGAACGGAAACGAAAAATTCAGCAATGTTTTCATTTGTAAAGGGGCATAACCCTAGAATGGTAATCAAAGTGCTTGTAATCACTGAATGGTAAAGATTGCTTAAATTTATCAGCAGGAAGTAAAATTGAATATTGCATTGTATAAAGTATTGGTTGTATTTGATTCAACTACCATTCAGGACAAAGAAAGATAACTCAAATTTTAAAAGAAAACTTTAAAATATTTCTAGAAATGAAGGGTAAAAATTGCTTTAATTTATCAGTGGAAGGCAAAATTTAACATTGCATTGTATAAAGCATTGATTGTAGTTGAATCAACTATAATCATGGACAAAGGAAGATAACTCCAATTTTAAACCAGCACCAAAACTCAAACTTGATCTGTATATTGTGGTAATAAGCATTGTGTATAAGTTTCATAACATTTGGTTGAGGCAAACTTAAGTTAGAGAACGGAAACGAAAAATTTAGCAATTTTTTAATTTGTAAAGGGGCATAACTCTAGAACGGTAAAAGTGACGCCACCAAAATTCAAACTTGATCTGTACTTAGGTGTAATAAGCATTGTGTATAAGTTTCATAACATTTGGTTGAGGCAAACTAAAGTTAGAGAACGGAAACCAACTTTGGGACGTACGGACGGACGTACGTACAGACGGACAAGAGTAAAACTTAATGCCCCCTCCGCCACGGCGGGGGCATAACAAAATATGCACCAACACTCAATCATATTGTTTAAAAAGACACACCTCATTGTTCTTTTAAATGCCTCAAGTTACGGACCCAGCTGATTCAAAACAAAAATTCTCAAATTTAAAGTTGCTGCTTATCCACTAAACACAACAGTAAACAGTCTTTAATTTAAAGAGTAGAAGCAAAGACTGATTAACTCAGAGGCAGAATAGCGTGTCTGCATAAGGTGATATGTCTGCCATCTTACATTTTGATCTATCAACTTATACATCTGACTCTGGGTGTGGGTCTAGTACAAAGCAGGTACATTCATATGACATTATCATGTAATCATCTTGAAGATGCATGTTCATTTAATCAAAGAATGTTAATCACCAATCAATCAATTATTTTGTAAACTAGATGTGTGGAGATGAAACAAAATGTCTCAGTCTGCAATCTTAATTCCCAATTTAACATTATTATGATGATTTTTTAACCCTGACTTATAAATAAAAGAAAAACATATTTTCAGTCCCTTTGGTAAAAGAAAATGAGAAAACAAAGTGTCCTCAATACAAAAACGTTTTCCTCAAACCATGAAAGTTTGTAACCACCAGGGTAAGTGCCTCCACAGGATATAAAGTAACATTTTTTTTTATTATTGAGAGCAACACATTAATTTCTAAATTTACAATATATGAAATGTTTAACAAATAGCAAACAAATTCAAATCAAACTGCAAACTATGAAGCCTAAAAATAGCAACATAAAAAAATTAAGAGGCAGAAATCCATTCTGCATCAAAATCATACTTTGGGAGATTAATCTAAAGCATATTTTGTTGTGATTTTAGTACATAATTTGGAATAAACTGCTTTGCTAAGCGCAGCTAGATATGCCCGCAGAGGTCCAACCCTGAACAGTTGGGGCAAAAATGGACACATTATTCAAGCTTGATTCAGGTCTGAATTTGGATTGTAATTAAATATTTGACATATTATAGGTTTCTGAATAAATGTAGTCAAAGAATTTGAAATTGGTTATATGAATTGAATTTATATTCAATTAAAGATTTCTTGCTGTTGTGCAATACTTAGTAAATCTGTTGTCAGACTATAAACAAATAAAGTTCAATTAATTCTCAATGTCATATTAGAAATTTTTGAAAATAAAAAGGGAGCTTACATCAATAGATATAAACAATTCACCAAAGTTTCATGAGAATTGGTGACAGCCTTTTTGAGTTATTGATACGAAAACTGGAAAATCACCCCTTTTTTTAATGAATAAAACCCCATAACTCAGAAATGTAGGATGTAAAATTTATAAAATTCTAAAGGGAGCTTACATCAATACATACAAACAATTCACCAAAGTTTCATAAGAATTGCTGAAAGCATTTTTGAGTTTTTGTCCGAAAACTGGAAAATCCCCCCTTTTTTTATGAATAAAACCCTGTAACTTGGAAACGTAAAATCTTAAATTTATAAAAATCCAAAGGGAGCTCATGTCAATAGATATAAACAATTCACCACAATTTCTTGCAAGTTGGTAAAAGCATTCTTGACTTATTGTCCGAAAACTGGAAAATCCCCCTTTTTTTAATGAATAAAACCCTATAACTCGGAAACTTAAAATCTAAATTTTATTAAAAACGAAAGGGAGCTCACGGCAATAGAAATAAACAATTCACCAAAGTTTTATGCAAATTGGTTAAAGCATTTTTGAGTTAATGTCCGACATGTTGACGATGGACGGACAGACGGACGGACAGATGGTGGGGTTGTTGCATTTATTCATAATAAGAATAAATGAGGAATGTGTCCATGGGACACAGATGATGCCCCCGCTTGCATACAATATAACTCAAGAACTGTAAAAGTGACGCTATCTAATTTGTACTTGATCTGTGTTTTGTGGTAATTAGCATTGTGTATAAGTTTCATAACATTTGGTTGAGGCAAACTAAAGTTAGAGTATGGAAACAATTTTTCCATTTGTAAAGGGGCATAACTCTACAACAGTAAAAGTAACGCCACCAAAATTCAAACTTGATCTGTGTTTTGTGGTAATAAGCATTGTGTATAAGTTTCATAACATTTGGTTGAGGCAAACTAAAGTTAGAGAACGGAAACCAATTTTGGGACGGACGTACGTACGTACAGATGGACAAGGGTAAAACTACGGCGGAGGCATAATTAACTCCTTGCTATTTAGAGATTTCCCATGGTTAAACACCATAAAGTGGCTCAAGATGTCCATTTCTGTGAACTTTTTGATTCTAAGATGGAACCCTACTATCACTAAGCAAAACACAATCACTATGTAGCATTTACTTAGAGCTGGATTAGTAAAAAGGTTCCCTGTACTGTATGAGTGTTTACCTGGTGGGCTCTGATAACTTGGAGCTTTAGGGGCTGGTCCAGTTGGCTGACTTGCAATTCTCTTCTGTAAATCAGACATGAGTTCGTCTTTCTCTGTTTTACGAGCAAAACAGAAATCTGAGATTTTGTTCTGTAATTTCACTAACAATGGAGTCAAGTCATTGTAAAACTGTAAAACAGGAAATACAAGATTGCTGAAATATGGAATATTTGTAAAACAAATATATAACAATACAACAAAATTTAACAGATTTCCATGTGTCTATTTGCTTTATTATGAATACCATTAAAGGTATTTGAAAGCTAAGAAGTTAAAGCTATGCTAGTAACTACACACTGTAGACCATTTCATATTTAGGGTGATTTCTACTTTTTCCTTCTATTTGCTTTTTTGTTTTATGGAATCAACTATTAAACTTGACAAAAAAGACTACTTCTTTCAATCGATACATATGTTTTTCATGATTATTTATCTTCAAATTAATAGTTTTTCCTTCCTAATTTTCAAGGGAATAAAATTTGATATTTGTACACAACTCCATAACAATTCAAAACTTTCTGAACAATAACTTGTGTACAATTCTGAGGCTTGTAACTTTTGTCTCAGGCTCACTACACTCAATTGGAATCATCTAAAGAGACCAGCAGCCTTTTCCCTCATATTGAAAAAACTATTAATTTATTTTTAATGTAACTGAAGTATTTCCTATAATAGATAGGCCAGTAGATACAATGAATTTGAAAACTGGACAAACAAACCTTTGTCCCCTCTTCTAAATTGCTCTTCAATTCCATGTACATGTCAAATCCAGCAGCCAGGTCTTTTAATACTTGTTCTCTTTGTGCTGCTCCCTGATTGGATGCCTTTGCTTGACAGAACTCTGTATTTGTGTTCTGATAAAATAACAGTACAAAGTGCATATAAAGTATGTACTCTTCTTTCATACCTGATACAATGTTAGTTCACAGCTACTGAAGCAAGTACTGTGATTTTATTAAAAAAAAAATCATCTTTGCAATGTATTGCTATTTATGGCTGTTCCATAAAAACATGCATGGTACCCAAGTAAGGCACTTCAAAAATGTGGTAACCACCTATAAAGTGCAATTTTAAAATTATCCTAAAAAATTCAGTGTATTAAAAGTGTTTCATACCAACTCAAAAGCGTCACCCTATATGATTCCCATGTATGTGTTTATAACTTTATAGAACAGACCTATTATTTTATGTTTCTGGTCAAAGAACTTTTGAAAATTTTATAAAGTTTAAGTTGTCTAGAAGATTAAGTGCCAAAATTAATGTTTTCCACTATCAGGATTCATTTTTCTGGTTTTTAAATCATCTATGGTTTTTATGAGGAAGACCTTTTTATTTTTCTGTTGAACATAATGATTAGTTCATGTAAGATGTTTTGTAACTATCATCATCAATTTTGTTCTTTCAGGTGCTCAAATGTCACAAGCAATATTTCTGTTGTATCTGACCTGTAAAGATACATCTTTACTAATATGATTTGCCAAAATAACTAAGCAATTAATTACCAGTAATAACTATTTTATTCAACCTACCTGCACTCTTCCCATTAACATTTCTTGTCTCTGTATACTATCATTCACTTGTTCCCTCAGTGGACCATACATTCTGTCAAGTTCTCCAACAGATATAGATTCTTCATCTATTAAACCATCTGAAGCCATTGCACTGAAAAACTTGCTTGCTGAAAGAAATTCAAGTAAGTTAGGAAGAAATAAAATTGAACTTTTTCTCCAAATAAAACAAATTAAGTTATAAAATTGTAAAAAAGTATTTGAAATCCAAACTATGAAATTTTTATAATACCAACAACATATATCCCACTAAAACTATAAATAGATAGGAAAAGTCTTTCTAGAAATCAAGTTTTAACCACTGGTAACCAACAATACACAGCATGGGCTGTGCAGGAATAAAAATCTGTCAATAAAAACATCAGTCAAGTTTTGTCCCCCATTTTTTCTTTTTGGAGCTAAGGAATCTTGATGTTTTTAAGGATATCAAGTTCTAAACATTTTTTAATCTTCTTAGATATTTTTGTTTTATAGTTAGTTTTTAAACAAGATGTATTGAGCAGAAATCAGACACACATGCATGAACAAAAGAAAACACCAAAACCCATGGAAATCCACAGTAAATAAATCAAAATTTATTGGTTTTTAGATTGAAGAATATTTACCATTATACCATTAAATTTCACAAGTGAACCAGAAAAGACGGAAGGTAACTTTGGTGCTAAGGTTAATCTCAGGGGCCAGTGTTCTCCCCAGGATTTTTGGACAGCACCAGGGTAAAGCGTGTGGACTTCTTGGTGAAATATTTCATGCAATCAGTTGTGTCGCGTCTGGTAGCTCTAGTTACTGTAGTTTTTATGTCTCTTGTTTTGTTTTAATACTGTGGTACTGTGTTATGTAGACATTGATTCAGAAAATTATTGGTAAAAAAGAAGTAAATCAAAAAACAATTTGTATACCGGTACTTTAATATTTTTTTAAAATAAATAAATTATGATTCATAATAAAATATTCATCTGAATTTAAAGTAATTAAATCTTTTATAAAATCCAAAATCAATAAAAATAAAATATTCAAAAGAGAACAATAATGTTCAATTTAAAAAACTTTCTAGTTTCTAGAAAAAAACTTGTTGTATGTGAAAGGATTCCTGTCATAAGAAGATATAAAATTAACAAGAACAATTGCAAATATTGTTTTATTATTTGAACCAGTTTCTATCTTAGATTTTAATAAAAAGAAATTTTTCATAAATTTTAGAACATTTTGCCATAGATTTCATGTAAATATTAACCTTTCTTGTCTTTGGTGATAATCAAACATAGATACAGACTTAATACTGCCCTAAAATCTAAATCTTTATTTGTCATGAACCATTTAAAAAGAATTCCTAAATCTATAAATTTATCTTTGGTCTATAGATCTATAAGTAACCATATTCAATGTCAACAACTAAGTCTCCCTATTTTCCCGCCTAAATGACAGGAAGTAGATATAAATAGACTTAACTTGTGCTTATGGATAAAATTTGCAAGATTACTTCTGTTATTCATTAATTATGGATATAGATATCCAGTTTGAAGGTACAGTCATGTATTTTATTTATAAAATATAATAGATTGCAATTAATTGTAAATAAACTTGAATATTCTACGTGAACTAACTGGGTCATGTGATATGTACAGACAGATACTACAGTTTGAAACCTGACTATCATGCAATAACTATGTCATAATTAAAGATAATATTGGCCATGGTTTAATCAGAGACATATAATACTATAATATAAGAATTGGGAAATGTGTAATTGTCCATTATACGTAATGAGCCACCATTATGATGTACAAAAAATGTACCTATCGGGTCGACACTGTTTGTGTACAAAGTATTTGCCGACTTGTCACAGGTCAGTGCTTAGGTGGAGAGTGAAGCCATATAATAGTTATCTGTGATCATAAAGTTATGAACTCTTTATTAAAACACAAAAGAATCATGTTACAAGTGTTAATTACATCGATTAAATCCAATCAACAAGGTTAACCTCATAAGGTAAATCAATCACGTGGTGTAAACAATCTGTGTTGAACTGGTTTGAACTGGTCAAATTTCACCTGGAATTTTATACAGCACGGAAAATATTTAACAAGTCGTTTAAAACTTTACTGATTTACAATTTTTTAACTGAAAATTTTAGCACCACGGAGAAAATTATACATCACAGTAAGAACGATACCACCACGGTAAAAAATTATACATCGCGGGCCCGCGGTCCTTTAAGGACCTGGGGGCTTCAGTTTCCAAGTGATAACCTGAAAGCATTTGATTGTGACAATGACCAATTTTGATATTTTGTCATCATAACAATTTTAAGGGTACCAGAAAAAACACAAACAACAATTTTGTCACCTGATGATATAAAAAGAGACATATTGGAACTTTTATCCTTGAAAGAAAGCACCAATTTTTCCTTGTTTGCAAGGGCTATTATTAGAACAAATCTTTGTCCTACCATTATTGTCATCATGGTTTTTAATATCATATACTTACACATATCAAATGTAACATCTTTGATTTGTGTTTCTATAACCTCCCTTTCTGCCTTGATTGTGGCGACATCTTCCATCATTTTTTTCAGTTGTTGTACAGCACTATTATTCTGCAGTCCACCAGATGACCCAGCACTTGGTAATCCTTTCTCTATTTCAGCCTACACAGCAGTAAAACAATTGAATCAAATTTAAACTTTTATCTTTTAATAAATGCAATTTACTTATATATCACATCTCAGACTATGTTAATTGTGGAAATGGACTGGATGGCAACAAAAGGTGGTAAATTTCTGACACAAGTAAAGCAAAACTAGAGGCTCTAAAGAGCCTGTGTCGCTCACCTTGGTCTATGTGCATATTAAACAAAGGACACAGATGGATTCATGACAAAATTGTGTTTTGGTGATGGTGATGTGTTTGTAGATCTTACTTTACTGAACATTCTTGCTGCTTACAATTATCTCTATCTATAATGAACTTGGCCCAGTAGTCATGGTAGTTACAGTGGAAAATATTTTGTAAAAATTTACAAAAATTTACAAAATTTTTAGAAAATTGTAAAAAATTGACTATAAAGGGCAATAACTCCTTAAGGGTCAATTGACAATTTTGGTCATGTTGACTTATTTGTAGATCTTACTTTGCTGTACATTATTGCTGTTTACAGTTTATCTCTATCTATAATAATATTCAAGATAATAACCAAAAGCTGCAAAATTTTTTTAAAATTACCAATTCAGGGGCAGCAACCCAACAACGTGTTGCCTGATTGGCCTGAAAATTTCAGGGCAGATAGATCTTGACCTAATGAACAATTTTATCCTGTCAGATTTGCTCTAAATGCTTTGGTTTCAGAGATATGAGCCAAAAACTGCATTTTACCCTATGTACTATTTTTTAGCCATGTCGGCCATCTTGGTTCGCGGGAAGGGTCATCGAACACATTTTTTAAACTAGATACCCTAATGATGATTGTGGACAAGTCTGGTTAAATTTGTCTTAGTAGTTTCATAGGAGAAGATTTTTGTAAAAGATTACAAAAATTTACGAAAAATGGTTAAAAATTGACTATAAATGGCAATAACTCCTTAAGGGGTCAACTGACCATTTTAGTCAAGTTGACTTATTTGTAGATCTTACTTTGCTGAACATTATTGCTGTTTACAGTTTATCTCTATCTATAATATTATTCAAGAGAATAACCAAAAACGGCAAAATTTCCTTAAAATTACCAATTCAGGGGCAGCAACCCAACAACGGGTTGTCAGATTCATCTGAAAATTTCAGAGCAGATAGATCTTGACCTGATAAACAATTTTACCCCATGTCAGATTTGCTCTAAATGCTTTGGTTTCAGAGATATAAGCCAAAATCTACATTTTACCCCTATGTTCTATTTTTAGCCATGGCGGCCATCTTGGTTGGTTGGCCTGGTCATCGGACACATTTTTCAAACTAGATACCCCAATGATGATTGTGGCCAAGTTTGGTCAAATTTGGCCCAGTAGTTTCAGAGAAGATTTTTGTAAAAGTTTACGGACGATGGACGCCAAGTGATGAGAAAAGCTCACTTGGCCCTTTGGGACAGGTGAGCTAAAAAGGCTTCAAACTTAACCCATGTTATACAGCATGTATACAATAATTATTTTAATACCAGTTAAATCTAAATCACATGTGTTTCGGTCCTTTGTTATAAGACCCTTGATATAATTGATTGAAGAATATTGGATGTACAAGAGACAACAGCATCATGTAGCCTGTAATTCTGTGGTTGTCGTTTGTCGCTGTTTATCATATTTGTTTTTCTTTTATTGTTTTGTACATCAATCAGGCCGTTATTTTTCTTGTTCGAATTGTTTCATATTTGTCTATACTTGAGGCAATTTACAACCTGTTGTACAGTGAAGGTGCTTGCCAATAGCTGGAGAGTATGGTGACTAGTCCATGTCTGTCAAGTTGATATGCATTGTTGGCATTTACCTTATGTACCCCTCAATTTTGACCCATTATACTATGATTCAATATATATATGTGCCTGTTCCAAGTCAGGAGCCTGTAATTCAATGGTTGTTATAGGTTGCTGGCAATCATACTTGTTCTCCATTTATCATAAAAATAAGGAGATGTGGTATTGTTGCCAATGAGACAACTATCCACCAATGTTCAAATGAAGTGGATTATTGTTTTGTACATAAATCAGGCCATTTGTTGTTTTACATTTTGTCATGTCAGGGCTTTTTGAAGTTTACTATACAGTTTGGGTTATGCTCATTGTTGGCTGTAATGTGACCTATAGTTGCCTTAATCTACATCATTTGGTCTCTGTTGGATAGTTGTCTCATTGGCAATCATACACATCTTCTTATTTTTTTAAAGAAATTTTACTTCTTATAAATCAACAGATGACTTCAACTTACTGAGGGTTTAGATAACAAAGCAATCGCACTCTTATGCGCAGAATATTTCTGTTGTACAACTCTGTCAGCTCCAATGGCAGTATCTAATATATGTTTGTATTTCATACATTCATCTCTCATTGGTTTAGTTAATTTGTCTGATGGAGTCCTGCTCCATCTTTCTTTAAACTGTTCTCTTAACTGTTTATCTGACTGTTCTTCATCGTCTAGTTGTTTGATGCACTGAAATAACAAAATATCATTGAAGATCAAGGAAAGTAAATGGGCTATGGCATAGATTTTAGTAAGATTTTGCATACAACTTGGACATGTTGTACTCTAAAGAAAATAGAAAAATAATTCATTTAATTGTGATACTTGCTTAAACATCAGTTAATGAAAATCCTTAAAATAGGCAACTGTTGTTAAGAATGCAATGTTTAAAATCTGTGAAGAAATTACTTAAAAGAGAGGCGAAAGATACCAAAGGGACATTCAAACTCATAAGTAGAAAATAAACTGACAATGCCATGGCAAAAAAAGAAAAAGACCAAAAGACAAACAACTGTACACAAGACACAACATAGAAAACTAAAGACTGAGCAACTAGAACCCCTTCATAAACCAGGGGTGATCTCAGGTGCTCCAGAAGGGAAAGCAGATCCTGCTCCATATATGGCACCTGTTGTGTTGCTCATGTAAGTACAAACTCAGTGATAAGTCTAATTTGGTAGGTCACATTCGGGGAAAAGAGGACGGAATTGTGGTTACGACAATTGAAACATATCCGTCGTCATCTGTGAAACAGATATTCTATAATGGTCAACCAACATGTGATGGTGTCTGTAAAATTTTCGAAGGAATGATTTCAACTTCACTACTTGGAACTATTGGTTTAATAGCTTCCTTGTGAGCAGCAGCCCTCTATCAAGGAAATCATGATAGGAAATGCAAGCCCTGGAATATCGTTTCAACTGGGAGATATATACTCCATATAAAGGCGCTGCTGGAATGGAAATGGAAAGTTCACAATTGGGAAGCTGAAATCATCTCTTTTGTGGAAAAGTTTTGTTTAATTGACCCTCATTGTCAATTTCTAGATGTAAGTCAAGATATGAGGCAGACTTAATTGTATCTGTTGTATCCTTTATCTCAGGTTCAATGGGATAGATGTGTTCAACATTATCTGAATTATCAATATCTTTAAAAACTCCTCTCATAACCTGGACCATAGATTTTTTATTAAAGAATCAATATGTTGTTGCAAGATAAATGACCATTTGAATGATGTAAAATACTCGTAGAGTCACCAACTTGGTTTTTGGGGGTATAACATCGGTCAAATTGGTGTTCTTGGTAAAAAATACAAAAATAAACTTTGAAATAAGTGTAATGCCGTTGCACTGTTAAATTACAAAAGCTTTTTCCACTACCAACGCCTCAACAAATTGGTTACTACATCAAAACTGAAGTCCATGATGCATGATTATTTTATATCAATCAAACAAAAACTTATATATATCAGCAACATTTCAATTTATAAGAAAAAACTATGAATCTATGTTAGAGATTTGATGATTTTAGAAAAAAATTTCATCAATGCTACGTGCATGCTATAGAAATGTACAACTTCCTGTAAGTAATTATTCAATACTATTTTTAAATAGAAAATAAAAGAGATAAATGCATTATTTTTTTAATTTTTAGTTTAAAGATTAACATGCTGAAGTTGACTGCAAAATTTTATAAAAATCTGGGTTACAGATCATAATGTTTTTGAGATACTTGTATGTTTTCTTATTATGACCCCCACCCCATTTACTCTTACCAAAAAAACAAAAGAAAACACAAAACTAAAGGATACAAATGTACATAGAAGTTTAATGTTCATAAACAAATCATCAAATAGAGCAGTAGAAACTGAAGTAAACAACAATATCATTGTATGCTAGTATTGTGTATGTTATCATTTCTGATAAAAATGCTAAATCATACATTTGGTAAAATAAATTCAGAAAAGGCAGTCTTTTTTCTCAATAGGTTGTACAAAGGTAGGATGACTAAAGGAGAAAACATTAGTCAGGTTAATGAAATGATCTTGGTGCCTTTTATAGACAGTGATTTTCTAAACGTAGGTGCCTTCTAAGGCAGGTATAAAACAGTGATTTTCTAAACATAGGTGCCTTCTAAGACAGGCACCTCTCTTGCAAAGTTCATAATGGGTCTTACTCACATCATCTAAGATTTCTCTATTTCTACACAACAATTCTGGTAAATCATTAATTAACTTGTCTAGATGTTGCATTCCTCCCTGGTCTTGTACTTGTTTGGCCTTATCTAAGACAGATTGAGGAACTTTGTTACTGCCAGACACATCCTCTAATGCTGCTGGTAGATTTAATGAAGCTAACACACTGTAAAAAAAAAAAAGGCAATAACTATATTCTACCTTGTTCAGCTTTAAGGATATACTTAGGTGAGGTTTAGGAATTTTTGTCAAATGTTCGGACTCCTTGTTTTTTTTCCTACGATACAGGGTAAAATATTTTGCTCCATAACACCCATTTTCTTTTCATATAAGACTTCAATAGCTCATAAAAGGTCATTTACCAAAATTCAGCAGATTCTAGATTTCTTTTCTTTCAATTTGAGACCCAAATAATACCAATGCAAATATAAGGTAAAAGTCTGAGTCAGCCTTAATCTGCCATTTAAAAAAAAAATAAATATCTCGAAAAGGAGCTCCATAACCTCTTATTATTTTTAGCTTATTTTGTTCTTAACTAATGCTCTTCTGACTTATAGTATCAATTTTAAAATCTAGATTTTTTTAATTTCACCTAAGTACATCATTAAGGAAATAGGATATTACTTCTTACTCTTTTTGAGGCACCTCATTTTAAGTGTTTTGGAAATTATAGGATCTCAATATATATATATATTTTTATAATATTCTATGTATTCTACACATTATTTTAAGGAGTTTTCACATTTACCAAATACAGTTATCCTATTACTCATAATACGTGAAAAATCACATGACAAAAACTTTTTTTTTTTCAAGCAGTTGCTGAACCATGAAAGTGAAGGCAAGGACAATGGACACATGAAAGACGAGACTTTGTAACATAAGGTATCTGCATTTTATAATTTTATAGGTTGTAAAAGTGTTAATCATGCATACATTTTTAAAATGCAGCCCTTCTGCACTTCTTACAAAATGTTCTTCTTTCAAAGCTTTTACTCCCCAATAAAATTATAAAAAGAAGCTTTCGTGTTTTAAATGAAGCTTAATAAAATACACAAAGTATCTGTAACTTAACTTAAAACTAACCTATTCATTAAAGTTGACGCTTCTCTAAGGCGACCTATTTCCCCACTTATGATTGTGTTCCTCCTGTTCTCAAATGCATTAAGGGCATCGTATACAGGTATTGGAACCAATTTTGAAAACAAATCTGAAAACATGTGATAATTCTAAAAATACAAGTATACATCAAAGCTATTTCATATTGTTTTTTTTTTTTTAATTTTTACTCAGTCATTGATAAAAATAAAGGATAGTAACAAATGGTAACAATATAAACTAGTAAATCCTACTTTTTTGGTTTGTCTGTCTAAAGTTATATATCAATTGTTTTTTTATTTTTCATTATGGTTTAAACAGTTGTTTTCTGTCATGTCTGTACGAGTTCTAAATTTCAACACAAAACATTCTTAAGCTGATTCGTAAGTATGAAAATATTCTAAATCAAAATAATATGACATAAACACTGAAATTTCATGGTAAAAATTCTATGCAAATTTACTTTATATCCCTGATTTTCTTAATCAAGCTACAGTAATTCAAACTGCTTTATACAAATGTCACCATTTTAATGATCTCAATAAAGAAATTGAAAATTATGATTTTCTATAATTGTGTTTCTTAAGGTTCAATTAAGAATATGTTTAAGGTTCAATTAAGAATATGTTCATACTTTACTTTTCCAGATGGGAACTAATGATCTGCTGGTTTTTGCTTTAATCGTGAATAAATTGAAAAATGTTGAGTTATAGTATAATGGCGCTTCAAAACAATCTTTGTTATGTCTAGTTGCAATTTGAACTATGAAAACTTTAAAATATTCAATTCATGTTTTACATTTTTTTGCATGATAATATTTCCGAGGTATTGAAATTAAGAAATATCACAATTTTAGGTTGATACCTTGAAATTTATCACTAAACTCTTTTGTAGGAAGTGGTGAAGGCTTAGCAATTTGTGCTTTCCCAATTGGATCTAATGTTTTCACATCAGGAACTTTATCATGATAAATAAAATCATTGTCTTTCTTTGCAGACTGCAACTCTCTCTGGATTCTTCCTTGTTCATTCCTAAAATTGAAAGTTGTTCCTCCCCTCTGACTTGATGCAGCCATTAAATCATTGGCATGCTAAAAATAGAATTTTAATTAATAAATCATCTATGAAAGAATGTCTCATTTCTACAATACTATGGATTCATTATCATTCCTGGGATACCATGTTTACGAAGATTTCGTGGGTACAGATAGGTGAACCAAGAATTCAGATGTTCAACAAAGTATAAATTTTCTATAAGCTAGTATGCAGACTTTTTAAAAACCATGAAAAATCAAATATATACAAAAATGCATTTTTTCCTCAATTCACGAAAATTGGTACCCACCAAAATAAGTGAATCCACAGTATCCTAAATAGTATTCTATAAGAATGTAACAAAGCAATGACAAATAAAACATGGTCACCAATAAAACAATACTGTTAGATAAATCTCAGTCAAATATCTGACATACACTAAAAATCATTCATACCAAGCTTGGTTTAAATTGCTATAGTAGCTTCAGATGTGTAGATTTACTCATTGCAAATAATGAGTAAAAATAATTCATTTCAGGGGAATAATTCAGTACTTATATGTGTCAGATTTATTTGTATATCTTGCTTTGTTTATGATAATCCTTTTCACTATTTACAGTTTCTGTCTTATCTATTAGCATTTCAAAAATAACAGACAAAAATGCTGAAATTGGTCAAAATTATCATTTAAGGGCAATACATCCTATAGGGAGTAAATTGATGGTTTTCATTCAATTGGCATTTTGGTAGATCTTAATCATATACATTTTTGCTGTTTACAGTTCTTTTTATTCATTATAGTTTTCAAAAAAAAAAAATTGCAATAACACTAAAATTGGTAATATTTGCAATAAATTTGGGTACAGAAAGGTAGATCTTTACATTTTGAGCATTTCTACCACTGTCAGATTTTCTCTTTCCAGTTTTCAAAATAAAAAAATAAAGTTTCATACAACTTGGGCTGTCTTTTTATTGCTCTTTGATCGGGTTGTTGTCTCTTTGACACATTCCCTGTTTCCATTCTCCATTCTATGTAACCAATATGTTTTTTTTAGGAAGAAACTTAATCAATTATTTTTCAATACCTGAAGTCTTGCTATTTGTTCTCCATAACTTCTTGCCTCTTTACAGACACAACTCTGATAAAATTCTGCCATTGCATGGAATGCTGCTTGTTTCATGACAACTGTAGGAATCCATTCCTGCAAATAAATTAATGATCAATGCAGTTAATTCATAATACCTTCTTTATTGTCTTTTTTCTTCGCTAAGGGCAAAACAATTCATTATTTCATGTAAGGGTCTGATGTATCAAATTCAGGCTTTTAAATACAAATCTGAGAAAAGAAATAAATGGGGAATGTGTCCATGGGACACAGATGATGCCCCCACTTGCATATCATATAAAGTTATAAAGGGACATAGCTAAAGAACGGTTAAAGTGACGCTACCCAAATTTGTTACTGATCTGAGTTTTGTAGTAATTAGTATTGTGTATAAGTTTCATAAAATTTGGTTGAGGCAAACGTAAGTTAGAGAATGGAAAGGAAAAACTCAGCTATTTTTCCATTTGTAAAGGGGCATAACTCTAGAACAGTTAAAGCGACTCCACCAAAATTCAAACTTGATCTGTGTTTTGTGGTAATAAGCATTGTGTATAAGTTTCACAACATTTGGTTGAGCAAACTTAAGTAAGAGAACGGAAATGAAAAATTTAGCAATTTTTCCAATTTTAAAGGGGCATAACTATAGAACGGTAAAAGTGATGCCACCAAAATTCAAACTTGATCTGTGTTTTGTGGTAATAAGCATTGTGTATAAGTTTCATAACATTTGGTTGAGCCAAACTCAAGTTGGAGAACTGAAACAAAAAATTCAGCAATTTTTCCATTGGTAAAGGGGCATAACTCTAGAACGGTAAAAGTGACGCCACCAAAATTCAAACTTGATCTGTGCTTTGTGGTAATAAGCATTGTGTATAAGTTTCATAACATTTGGTTAAGGCAAACTAAAGTTGGAGAACTGAAACAAAAAATTCAGCAATTTTTCCATTTGTAAAGGGGCATAACTCTAGAACAGTAAAAGTGATGCCACCAACATTCAAACTTGATCTGTGTCTTGTGGTAACAAGCCTTGTGTACCGGTATAAGTTTAATAACATTTGGTTGAGAAAAACTAAAGTTAGAGAACGGAAACCAATTTTGGGACGTACGGACGGATGTATGTACAGACAGACAAGGGTAAAACTTAATGTGTATAAGTTTCACAACATTTGGTTGAGGCAAACTTAAGTAAGATTAAAATAATTAGTGCAAGTGTTGAAATGTAACTGTACAGATTTTGGACTTAATATATGGACAATTTGAACAAAACTGGCAACAATGAAAGAACCTTTGTTAGCATGCTCACATACCCCAAACACCCATATTGTCACTGGGCAAACAAAATCTCACCAGATTCCCAAGTTCAAAGACAAAAGTCAACTGATCAAAATTTCTTGTGGGATATAAACATCTACATATTATATACTCATGAACTACAAAGTTTCATGAAATTCTGTTGTGTGGTTTCAGAGGAGATGCAGTAGAATATTAAGGCAAAAATTCTAAATTCAAATGGGACATAGCCCTAGAAAAAAAATTGAATCATAATTTCCTGTCGATATGCACATCAACATAGTATGTCCTTATTACAAAGTGTCATGAAATTCTGTTGTGTGGTTTCAGAGGAGTTGATATGATAAGAACAGGACTGATGGATAGACGGGACAAAAACATCATACAATATGCAACTTTGTTGCGTGGGGTATAATAATAAGTGGTACCTTGGTATAAAGATAACATCTCTTTATAAATACCGAAAACCAACAGATATTTCCCAAACAAAACATTTGAATAACACAGAAATGTACCAAGACCAACAAGAAGTTAAATATAAATGTAAACTATTTGGAAATTTAATAAATGTTCACCTGAAGATTAATTGTTTTACTCTCAGTCTAAGGGAGACAACAACTATCAATTTCAAATTATCTTTAGATGATAGTGTTTGCAATTTATAAAAACTTCTGATATTTTTATAGAAATCAAAACAACCTGTTCTGATAATAAAATGAATACCTCTATAATAGTATGACACACAATAAGAGACAATCAGGTGTTATAGCTTTAATGTTGCACATGTTACAAACAGCACAGTAAACTGTTGAATCATTGATACAATTTATGTCTCCTTGAACAGCCTAATCAATTGTAAAAGTTATTCAGTTGGGCTGTATTATTTACAGTGACATTAAACATGAATCAATTTCATGTAATATACCAAAAACTTAAAATCATCTCTTTTGTCGTAGCTGCACATAAGGACTCAACTCATAATATGTTAACAAAATTAGCTGATAAAATGGTATATAAAGAACAAATATTTTGCAAAAAAATTATTCAATATAATAATTTTTGGTGAGGTATTTACAAATGCTGAAATTTAATATAATTATCAACTTACTTCATGATAATATTTGCTTAAAAAATAAAGAATGAATTGTTTTTCTTTCAATAATAAATTTTCAATCAAAGGGACACAATCAATGTGAAATAATTTTTTGTTAATTTTATTTGTCTAAACAAGCTCAGTGTAGTTTCTTAAAGACCTGATGTCTATGAAATGTATTAGCGATGACTAAACTGACAATACTTCAATCATGCTTTTCACTATTGAATTCACAAGTTAATGTGTTCAAGCTTTGTTGACTGAAATTTATATGTACAAATTTCGAACATAACAAAAGAAGGTAAATGAAGTCTTTCTTAAGTATTTTGATTGAATCAAGCATTTGCTGTCTATATTCTAAAACATGAATCACAACAAACCCTTATGAAAAATTTATGTATCAATATGACCAATTATCACTATTTTACGAATTTTTCCTTTGATCTTGCTGACTGATAATTTCCATTCTCAGCGGAGTCCAGTGATATGAATTATCGCTAGACACTAAGGGAACACGTGCCGTTGTCAAGGAAATTAACAACATCTTCATAGGTAAAATAGCGATAAACAGATTATCATTGGTCATCTCAACTCAATTGCTTTTCTTGCTTTCGCCGTACCGGCTCAAGCGAGAAAACCATTCTCGTTGAGATAACCAACGATAATCTATAATTATATGTTGACTGAAATTTATATATACAAGTTTCGAAAATAACAAAATAAGGTAAATGAAGTCTTTCTTAAGTGTTTTGATAGAATCAAGCATTTGCTATCTATATTCTATAACATGAATCAAAACAAACCCTTAACAGTTTGAAATAATTAAGTTAATACTTTATAACAAATTAATTAGAAATGATAGAAGAAATAATTATTTTTAAGACCTTGTTGAAGTTGAAGCAGTCAATAAAACTCAGGAGTTTTGGTCAAGTTGAATTTTAAGGAAACATTATACCCATATAAATCTGGACTAAGAATTTTAAATCTAAATGAGGATAACAATGTCTTTTATTTTCAACTAACTATCCCCATTAAAAATTATGTTACTCCTGTACTACTACTCTTTCTAACATAAATACAATACTATACATGTATACTATCTTATAATACATGAGAACATTCCCATGTAATGAAACAAAAACTTAAAATCATCTCGTTTGTCATAAATTAAACCACCATAAGAATCATATAACAAAGTGAATATTTCTATGTATGTTTTATATGGTCAATATCGACAAAATATTTTGCTAAGGAATTCTTTACTTCTATCATATTTTAGCATAATGTAAAACAATGTATATCTTCAGAAATACACTTCTTCCTTCACAATAAAAAGTTCTTTTAATTTTAAAAATAATCTATCATATGACAAAAACATTAAACATACGAATTCAAGGGGAGGTAATCCAAGTTACATTTTTTTCTAATTTTTACAGAAATGTTGAAATCTCCATTACTCGTAAGATATAAAATCAAGAGTGTGTGGAAGGTAAAAACGACCATGTAAATAAAGTCATGTTTACTTCACACACATATATGTATTAAGTTGCTTAAACAACTCATCTCATTCAACTGATCAAGATATTGAGCTGGAAGGTGGCGTATTCATCAAAACTAGTTAACCCCTCCACATAGTAATATTCATCTAGTAGATAAGGAACAAAAACAGCGCATGATATAAAGGTTGTCTGATTGCCCCATTCAAGTGAAAGTCATTTTCGGGCAAGTAAAAGCTGCAGCGTACTTGTCAAACAGGAAGGTAAACTAGATTAATAGAGTCACTCTATTCAAATTTTTTTTGGTGGTAACATATGTTCTGAAGCATTACTGTATATTGATTTTAGAGAATCGCATTTCCTCGGTCAGCCAGTTATCAAAATTAGACAATAATGCTTTGCAGTTGGTGACTAATGAATAACATTACAGTCTTAATAATATATATGGTCATAACAAAAACATAAGCAGTAATTAAATACCATGGAAGATACATTTCCACTATCAATACAATCATTTTATTTTGGTTTTTTAACCAACCAACCCCCTTTTTTTTTACAATTGTTACCTTTGGCCAAAGTTCTTTCAAGGTAGACAACTGCATTAATTTCATAGCATCAGCATATAGTTCTGAACACTGATGTACAACTTTGGCTACCATAACATCTTTCATCTTATCTGAAATACAAATTATAATAGCTAAATATCTAATAGTGTTGATCAAAAATATTATTCAATTACTTTTTATTGAAGATTGGACATCGAACTAGATATTGTGATATCTATTTACCAGATTTTGAGTTTCTTTTTTCATTGAAGATTTTGTAAATAGCGATTCGTGGACAAGTTACTGTCTAATACGGGCTTGGAATGACTTCCTGCACAACTAGAATGCATCCCTTTTACTATGCATATTGAACAGTTTAGAAGAAAACTAAACAATAATGAAATAATCGTAGAAGATTTAAAAGAGCACGTGCTTAGAGAAGGAGGTATATGTCAAATCGTGACTTCTTATTGAAACACAGTTGTCCGACCAGAAATTCTCTCTTTAATTATCCCGCTTTGATTAGACAAGCAGGTTTCCGTTTGGGAACATTTTTTGTTTATATCGTGGGGGAAAGGGAAGAAATGGAATGGGATTCACTTCAAAATATTTTACAGTCGCCAGCTGGGCAATCAGGATGATAAAATATATTCGCCTAGACGAAAATCTGATCGCCTTGGACGACTCGGCGAGCGTTAAGTTAGTCCCTGGGAACTCTGTTCAAACTGAGACTAGAAGTAAAGGAGTAATAAACATAACAACATAATTACATTACATGTATGTTTCATTATAATACCTTATTTTGATTGGCTAACAGCAATCTCGCCTCATTCTGAAATTAACCTTCATTTCAAAATGAAATGTAACATTCATGATGACAGGAGCTTCCACAATAAAGTGCACAGTTAAATAAAAGAAAATCTTGATAGAAATCATGTTTTCATGATCCTAGCAAAAAAATTTTATTATAAGTATTGAATGCTTCTTTTAGTAATTTTATAGGGTTGTAAAAGCGTTGAGAGTGCGCAGAAGCTCTTCATACAAAATGTACTTCGGTCAATTCTTTTACACCCCAATAAATTTACAAAAAGAAGCATTCAATTCTTAAATGAAGATTCTGATAGTGCTTACACTAGCATGACTTTATTATTATGAATTATTTTGCCACTATTATATAATGGAAAAAAGTGATAGAAATATATCAAGAAAGTGATATAAACATAAATGATATAAAATATGACTAGAGAGAAAAAATAAAAATTCACTTAATAGAAGAGAAGGTAATTTACCATTTGCACATTTTCTGTAAATAGTTTCCTGGGCCTGAGCAACCATTAAGGCACTGAGAGCATTTAGGGAGTCTGGGTTCATGTCAGGAGTAGGATCCTGTTGTATATGTGACAATACAACATCCTTCAGGTGTCCAAAAATACCACTGGCAGACTGGAATCAAAAAATGATGTCTTAGAGATATGCGAAAAAAAATCCTTTTACTAATATACACTATTTTTAACACCTTTGTGTGTACATTATCCAACTGCAATATTCCTGAGAATTTGACAATAAAAAATCTTTATTATTTATATGATTTATTTATTTAATTATATTTGTTAGTCAAGAATAAGACAGATTCTGTTTGTTCAATCAGTAAGCATTTTTTTTTTATGTTCTATAGACGTTACAAGAATATCTAGACATTATGACCTTTGAAATTTCCTCCATTATTTCATATTCTTACCTGGAAATATTTTGCTGAAGTTTTAAGTCCTTCATCGCTATCATGATTCTGTACCTCAGCTATCTGTGTTTGTAGTGCAGCAATGTTAAACAACATACATACTTTCTCATAGGAACCCGAGGCTATAGCTGTAAGAATCATAATATAGTACTAAATGAAATGTACTGGGTAATTTCATGCCAAGAAACATGTGTAAAGCAAGTTAAAAAATAACTGACAGCATTGAAAACAATTTTTTTGTTTCATCATTTGTTTTGGTATATACATGTGTAACTCCATGATCAATATTTGTCTAATTGTGTTCTATCTTAAAGATGCATTTATCTTTTGAGATTTTGAGCTGTTTGTCTCCCAGAAATGATTTCTCTTTTATATTTCAAACTCAAAGTGAGTCTCCTCATATGAAATATAATTTATATCCAATAAATCAAAGTCGGTCTTTCCAATGGTATTCTTGTTGTTGATGAATATCTTGGTGAGGTTTTTCATCGCATTTATCTTGTGCACAGAGAAAACGAACATAGTGTTTTGTCACTGAACTCTTATCAAATGGCTTAAATCTCCTCCTTAAAGACCATTTGTTGTCATATTTACTCCTAGCTTATTCCAAATAATAGTAACATATAATGTAGACCAACTGTAAATAAATATTGTCTGCTATATGTATTACAAATAATAAGGGGTTTAAAACAGATTTGTTATTGTTTATATTTCATAATGATATATTCTTAAATACAACTTCAAAATGAGAAAACAAAAGTTGAGGTCTGTAGTTTTTCTAATTCATATTTGTATTACTATTATGAAAATCATTGAAAGGTGATAAGGACAGAAATATGATCAAAACATAAAATATAAGTTTAAATTACTTAATATTGATTCAAAACATTTAGATTATTTCAATTACTGATTATTAGCATCATTTAGTTTTTAAAAATAAATAATCAATCATCTGAGATAATTGTTACAATATTACATATATTTTTTCAATCAGTATAGATTGATATGATTCATTTTACATCATAATCATACTGAAGGATATCTGTTATCTGAAATATTTATTGATAATTACATTTGTTTCCTTATTTTTAATATTGGTGTTGTTTTGTACACTTTTTAGGCGTTTACATAATTTATTTATTGTGTACATGTATCGTTACTCGTAACGATCCAGCGCCCTCGTAAGAAAGATTGTTGACTAATATCTAGACGTTTTATATATATGTTATTTTTTTATCCAACTTTCTTTGCATTTGTGGATTTTGTTCTTACCCAAAATCCTCTTCCCAGAGAATAATGATTCTTTATCAAAAGCATCTCTCCACTTGAAATTTACTCTTATCTGAAAATCAATATGAAAAATATTGTAAAATAATATTTTTTCTTTTTAAATGGCCATTCTATATAAAAATAAGAAGGTATTCTATTATTGCACAAATGAATACATTTGTGGCAATTGCCCAAGATTCATATTGGGTTAAATTTACCATCTAAATACTGTTAAACTAAGCATAAGATAAATCCAACAGTATGCATATATAAAGGCACAAACAAAGGCACAAACATACACTATATTACAATTACAGATTTCAAAATATAGCTGAAAAAGGGTTTTTCTTCCAAGTTTTTTTTATTTTGTTTTTAAGGGCTGCATGAATTTTTTTTTCCGAGAGCTTCATGTATTCCATGCTACTGATCATTGCAGGGAAATTTTTTCACTTTCTACAGCTGTTCTTACTTTTTCCTCTAACATTTTGAATAAAGAAATCTGTTTGCTTCATTTCAAACATTTTAATTCAAGAAGATTATCTATTAACATGAAAACTAAAAAAAAAATAATAAAGACTATCACAATTGATTCCAACTCTATAAACACAAAAGCATGAAAAACATATTTTTCAAATGTGTATTCCTATTTAGTATATTTTATTAGTCTTTTTTAATACAACATGTGCAATACATTGTAGTTCTATTTATACATTTTAATATTTTTTTATCCCTGTTGTCCCATGATCAGAAATGGGAAGGGCCCCAAAATAATTCCAGCCTAATACTAGTTCTTAAGACAACCCCTGAGATAGACAAGGAAGACACTTTAATGCCATAAAATGACCACAAAACTTTGGTTTAATACAAAAAAATTCTATCTTTCTTTTTAATCCTCACCTGATTTTCTGCAATTGGTAATTTGTTTTCTATTGCAACAACTTGGTCATAATACCTACAAAAGAGTAAATACTTATAATCCAATTTATAAACATGATTATAAAACAATTAAACTTTGATTAAAAATATGTAAATTTAAAATGTAATACCTAAATATGTACATCAAAATCATGCGTCCATGGTCTCCCCAGATATTTTTGATACCATAATGTTTTTTAAAGTCATACTTTTGCAACGGTGTAAGCTTTGTACTGTCATAAACTTCGTTCTTGTATAATTATATGTTTTTTTGGACACATTTGCATAAAGTATTCATGTATCACACACAAGAATATGGTTACTTTTAAGCTAATGGGAGAACACCATTTTAACAGAGTTGTTTGTCAAGATCAAGATTTTTTTTATTCTTTAATAAAATGCTTCGCTGGGCGCAGCTTGATACGACCGCAGAGGTCGAACCCTGAACAGTTGGGGCAAGTATGGACACAACATTCAAGCTTGATAAAGCTTTGGATTTGGATTGTGATTAAATATTTGACACAGCATAGGTTTCTAACACAGATTGAATGTGGTCTAAGAACTTAAAAATTTTAAATTGGACATTCACCTATTATGGTCCAATATCCAAAATCTAAATACATGGTTAGATTCAGCATATCAAAGAACCCCAAGAATTCAATTTTTGATGAAATCAAACAAAGTTTAATTTTGGACCCTTTTGACCTCAATGTGGACAAAGTTGATAACGGGGCCCAAAAATCAAAAATCTAAATACATGGTTAGATTCAGCATATCAAAGAACCCCATATATTCAATTTTTGTTGAAATCAAACAAAGTTTAATTTTGGACCCCGATTTGGACCAACTTGAAAACTGGGCCCATAATCAAAAATCTAAATACATGTTTAGATTCAGCATATCAAAGAACCCTAAGAATTCAATTTTTGTTAAAATCAAACTAAGTTTAATTTTGGACCCTTTGGACCTTAATGTAGACCAATTTGAAAACGGAACCAAAAATTAAGAATCTAAATAAACGGTTAGATTCGGCATATCAAAGAACCCCAATAATTCAATTTTTGATGAAATCAAACAAAGTTTAATTTTGGACCCTTTTGACCTCAATGTGGACAAAGTTGATAATGGGGCCCAAAAATCAAAAATCTAAATACATGGTTAGATTCAGCATATCAAAGAACCCCATATATTCAATTTTTGTTGAAATCAAACAAAGTTTAATTTTGGACCCCGATTTGGACCAACTTGAAAACTGGGCCCATAATCAAAAATCTAAATACATGTTTAGATTCAGCATATCAAAGAACCCTAAGAATTCAATTTTTGTTAAAATCAAACTAAGTTTAATTTTTGACCCTTTGGACCTTAATGTAGACCAATTTGAAAACGGAACCAAAAATTAAGAATCTAAATACACGGTTAGATTCGGCATATCAAAGAACCCCAATAATTCAATTTTTGATGAAATCAAACAAAGTTTAATTTTGGACCCTTTTGACCTCAATGTGGACAAAGTTGATAACGGGGCCCAAAAATCAAAAATCTAAATACATAGTTAGATTCAGCATATCAAAGAACCCCATATATTCAATTTTTGTTGAAATCAAACAAAGTTTAATTTTGGACCCCGATTTGGACCAACTTGAAAACTGGGCCCATAATAAAAAATCTAAATACATTTTTAGATTCAGCATATCAAAGAACCCTAAGAATTCAATTTTTGTTAAAATCAAACTAAGTTTAATTTTGGACCCTTTGGACCTTAATGTAGACCAATTTGAAAACGGAACCAAAATTTAAGAATCTAAATACACAGTTAGATTCGGCATATCAAAGAACCCCAATAATTCAATTTTTGATGAAATCAAACAAAGTTTAATTTTGGACCCTTTGGACCTCAATGTGGACCAATTTAAAAACGGGGCCCAAAATCCAAAAACTTAATACACGGTTAGATTCAACATATTAAAGAACCCCATGAAATCAAGAATAAAACCCCATTGAAATTGGTCAAGAAATAAGCAATTTATAGGAAGTATCTTCTTTTGCACAATCCTGTGCTATTAAATATTTCTTGCTATTGCGCAATACTGTACAATTGACAATTTCTTGCTATTGCGCAATATTGTGCTATTGGATATTTCTTGCTATTGCGCAATACTGTGCAATTGAAGATTTCTTGCTATTGCGCAATACTGTGCAATTGAAGATTTCTTGCTATTGCGCAATACTGTGCAATTGAAGATTTCTTGCTATTGTGCAATACTGTGCAATTGAAAATTTCTTGCTATTGCACAATACTTATTATATAATAATTTACACATCCTGTTTGGTGTGTATCTCCTACTATATCATTATTATTTGATTTTAAATATAAATCAGAAATAACCAACTTAAAATGGAAAATTTTAAAAGAAACAAAAAAGGAAAAAAAGAAAAAAAAGGAAAAAAAATAAATCCCCCCCCAAAAATTTTTTGAACCCCCATTATGATTCATCACCCCCAAACTCAATCCCAGCCTTCCCTTTGTGGTATGGTACCTTGCAGTACAATTTCAGAGAGATCCATACACTTGAACACAAGTTATTGTCTGGAAACTAGAAAAAAATGTGTTTTGTGGCCCCTTTTTGGCCCCAAATTCCTAAACGTAAAACTAAATACACGGTTAGATTCAGCATATTAAAGAACCCCATGAAATCAAGCATAAAACCCCATTGAAATTGGTCAAGAAATAAGCAATTTATAGGAAGTATCTTCTTTTGCACAATCCTGTGCTATTAAATATTTCTTGCTATTGCGCAATACTGTACAATTGACAATTTCTTGCTATTGCGCAATATTGTGCTATTGGATATTTCTTGCTATTGCGCAATACTGTGCAATTGAAGATTTCTTGCTATTGCGCAATACTGTGCAATTGAAGATTTCTTGCTATTGTGCAATACTGTGCAATTGAAAATTTCTTGCTATTGCACAATACTTATTATATAATAATTTACACATCCTGTTTGGTGTGTATCTCCTACCATATCATTATTATTTGATTTTAAATATAAATCAGAAATAACCAACTTAAAATGGAAAATTTTAAAAGAAACAAAAAAGGAAAAAAAGAAAAAAAAAGGAAAAAAAAATAAATCCCCCCCCAAAATTTTTTGAACCCCCATTATGATTCATCACCCCCAAACTCAATCCCAGCCTTCCCTTTGTGGTATGGTACCTTGCAGTACAATTTCAGAGAGATCCATACACTTGAACACAAGTTATTGTCTGGAAACTAGAAAAAAATGTGTTTTTTGGCCCCTTTTTGGCCCCAAATTCCTAAACGTTTAGGGCAATTACCCCCAAACTCAAACCCAGCTTTCCCTTTGTGATATGGAACCTTGTAGTACAATTTCAGAAAGATCCATACACTTACACACAAGTTATTGTCATGAAACTAGAAAAATGCTTGTTTTTTGCCCCTTTTTGGCCCCTAATTCCTAAAATTTGGAGGCAATTACCCCCAAAATCAATCCCAGCATTCCTTTAGTGATATGGAACCTTGTGGTACAATGTCAAAGAGATCCATACACTAACACACAAGTTATGTCTGGAAGTTACAAAAATGCTTATTTTTGGCCCCTTTTTGGCCCCTAATTCCTTTACTGTTATTACCATAACCCCCAAAATCAATCCCAACCTTCCTTTTGTGGTATTGAACCTTGTGGTAAAATTTCATAAAGATCCATTCACTTAAACTAAAGTTAGAGTGCGAAAACCAATGTGTCTTCGGACGACGCCAGACGACGCCGGACGACGACGACGACGCCGGACGACGACGACGACGACGACGACGCCAACGTCATACCAATATACGACCACAAAAATTTTTTTGCGGTCGTATAAAAAACCATAAAGCTCCAAAGTTAAAAATGTCTTATGTGACAATGTGTTATGCTCAGTGCAGGTATTTTAGCACGTTTTCATTATTTCCAATAGCTACAAGGTCTAAATCACTATTTTAATTCAGTATGATTTTGATAATTTCAGTGTTCGTACACCAAAATGAAATGGAGAGCCACTGTTTAGAACGTTATATTTCAATCAATATAATTTGGTGTATGCTTCTGAAAATATTTCACTCTGAATGCATTAGTCTAAGATTAAAAGGTGAATTCAAGAACAATTCATAATTTTAGAAGGCATACCAATCTTTTTATTTCATTAAAGAATACAATTCTTCTTTTTGCAGTTGGGATGTAAAAGCAGTGACTAAAAGAACAAATTAACTTCAGGAATTCGATTTATGGGTCGTGTATATAAGAGTCCTGTATACCAATATGGTGCACATAATTATTCAACAGGTAGATTGCATTAATCTCTGATGTGTATATAGATGGCTGAACGGCTGTCATTCATCATTTGACTATTTATATAGTCATAAATCGCATATCACATGCATATTGAAAATATTTGAATTTTGAAAATTTCAATTTTTAAAGAAACTAATCCATATTCAGTATTTTAATACTTTTATTTAGCTAGTTATTTTTCATTTGAATAATCACATCCGCCATATTGTTACACAAGGAACCTACATACAAGACACACAAATTGAATTCCTTAAGATAATTTTTGTACCTTTTTAGAGTAAAAATGACATATATCTATCATTATTGATAAATCTTCTCTTTTTTTATAAATTATTTAGTTTTTTAAATAATGTATTTGCTTTTCAAATTGCAATTATTAAAAAATGTAATCCTTCATTACTTTTAATTAGAAAGACTAATCTACATTTTGAATATAAGTAACAGCATATTGTTATACACAAAACCTGCATACAACATTGTACAAGACACACAAATCGAATTCCTAAAGTTAAATAGTAGTTTTATTGAGTAAAAATGACATATATATCAAAATTATAGTCTTTTAAAAAGCTATAAACTTTAAAAATAGAGTTTACGGGATATATCTATCGGTTATTGGGTTCTTAATGAGTTTTCCGGATAACTGGATACCGGTTTTGGGAAATCGAGGTACTGTGAAAATACTCTGTCAATCTTTGCCCTGTATTTATTTACCTAAATGCAACATACACTTATTTCCTCATATCTACTAAGCAAAATTAACCAATTTGTTTCAGACATTCCTACTTCTCAAATTGATTTTATTCTCCCAATGCCATATAAAAACAGGAAATAGCCAAGATGATTCAAGATAGACAGACACTATACACATGAGTACCACCATATATCATATATGTCCAAAGAGATAATTAAAAGAAGTAAGCTGTAATGGATTTAGCATTATCATTTCTCTTTTAAAAATAATATAATATTAACAATCGTATGACGATGATATCTTACCGATACAAAATTTCAAGCGCGCTGTCGTGTTTATCGACAGATTTTGCAATCATGAGATTCCTAAGTTTACTGAATTCATTGAGAGCTTTGTTGTAATCATCTGGGTCTGCTTGGCTAAATGTGTTTTGAATAAAACTTCTCATAGGCTTGATTAATTCAACTTCTTGAGTCTGTTTTAGAGGAACAGCCAAAAACGTCGCCATCTTGAAGTATTTTCTGTTTGGTCACATGGTTCATAGCTATAAATAGAAACACGGAGTGACGTCAAAATGAGTAAGGTGCTCGTTGAAATGAGATCACGCAAGAAACAAGAGGACCACCTTCCAATAAACCACATGTCTAAAAACAAAAATGAATTAATACATTTTGAAAGAAAATGACAAGTTTTATCACGATCTTCTACTTTCTGTTACTTAATTAATAAGTCTTAATTCATTAAAAAAACAATTCTCTTTAAAGAAAGTTATACAGATTTTTATTTTGCTGACAGCGGCCACAAGGAACAGATTAATTATAGTGAATCAAAAATAAATAGACATAACATACCAATTACAATGATTTCTTTTCATTTTTCTTAATTACAATAACAATAGTGAGTCTCCTCATGGGGTTTTTGATTATGTGATTACTATGCCGTTTTTATAGTAATTATTTGATTACCAGACCAAATCTTTCATGATTATTTGATAATCTAGGACTGTATTTTTGATTATTTGATTATCTTGTTTAAAAAAATAATTAATGATTATTTGATTATATTAGCAAAACATTTGTGATTATGTGATTACTTGGACACCCCCATGAGGGGCCTCAATAGTAGTAATATTAATATTGAAATTTACCGTAAACAATCACCAGAATAGTCAGTCAGCATCTGCAAAAATATTGCGAATTATGATGGTCTTTAAGTAAATTCCATAAAGACAAAATATCTGAACAGATATTCAGAAATTGAGATAGATTTGAGCCAATGTATGCACACGGGTGTCATTCGGTATATCGAGAAAAATGATCGTGAAAGAATAAGTAACGGTGGTCAAGCATTGCGATCTGGTATCGGATCGTGAATGTAATAAAATGTAATTCTATTTCAAAATCTGTGAAAAATCCGCTGAATTTTCAAAACGCGGAACAAATCCGAAAAAAAAATATGTCTGTCAAAATGATTCAACTTTCTCAATAATACTGAGATAAAGAAAATATGCTGTACTTTATCAGAAAACATAAAAGGCGCAACACAAGTCCATGGGATTCATTAAAAAAAAACACATGTTTTGTACCTATAATGGTCACATTCCAGTATATCATGATATATTTGAAACTTAATCTTTGGTGTGTCAGATAGTGCAGTAGAATAAAAGTTTTTGTTTGTGTTAAAACCGTTAATTTTGTCTATGAAAACATTGAATTTTGTTGATTTTTCATCAAAATTGATCGTGAAAGATCAGGCAACGCAATATCTTGATCGTGAAAGACAAGTGTGACCAGACTTAATAATCAGAAAACAATATATCTTTTACCAATTGATATACTTGCAACTGGTTGAAGCGCGTAATTATTTTGATAAGAACGAACATTAATGCTTTCATTTTTATTTTCACTTTTTTTTTTAATTCAACACTTTTTCTCAAGAGTTATTAAAATAAATAAAATCGTGTCCTCCAGGAGCGTAAATTGTCGAAAAGTAAAAGTTTATATGTATAAATAATGCTTAATGCATCCGCCTTGGAAATATATGCATGTTGGTTTTATTTTTGTGTAAGGGTTGTTACTTTCAGTTGTATGAAGTGTCTTTCGTGCGTACATAGTATGACAATATTGGCTAATTTATTGTTTATTTCGTGGCTGCGCAGACATCAACTAAAAGGGTACCAAGATAACGTTATTTTTACTTGATTGTTTTTTCAATCTTTTCACGATAGCTATACGTCATTGTACCCAATTTAGTGGGGGAATTACCTATCAACGTACCTCGATTGTGATGCCCATCTTGAACTGTAATTTAGCTGATTCAGTTCTATTCTCAATCGTTACAACTTTTAACGCATGCATATCACAAGCCACTTATCTTGGTGGTATATTCGGTCGAGATCAATTTGGAGATAATTAGTTTACATGGGATTTTTTTCTCTTGGTTTGTATCATCAACATGTTTTAAAAAAAATCTAAACGGATAGTCAAATTTCTTTACGCAAAGCACGAATCACTAAATATAACAGCAAATACTGTCTTACTCAGAGTAAAAATCACACGGATACAGTGATATGTCTGCTGCGAACTGTTCATACCTTTTTCAGTTCGGGTGTGAAAAAAATCAGCTCTGAGAATCGGTCTAGTACAATTCAGGTAGGCCTATCTTCTTATGGTATCATTCAATGTTTTCACCGCTACTATTTAGCCAATATTTGGATATGCAACGTTTAAACACAAAAAGTTAACCATCTACGTTATCTAATAGCGAAAACAACATCTTTCATTTACAATTTGAGGCTGAACGATAACCAACCTTTTGTGTTATAGTACTTTCTTAAGTTCTAAGTATCTTTATATACAACTAAGCAGATGATATAACTATATATTTCAGACCTAAGAATACTAGAGCGCAAATGCTGAAATGTCTCTTCTGCTTTACTTATGATTGCATTTATGTTGAACGTCTGTAATATTAAGGGTTTTATTAGAAGTATCACATACACTTAAGTTTATCAGTGATCCATAAAAAAGAGGTCAAGGACAGATGAACCAAGCCAAACGGACAAATATACTGATATTGTTATAAGGCACCTAGTCGGTGTGGTATTATAAGATAATCAGATCAAATGGCAATGAACGATTACAGCCCTATTCACCAACAAAAGAGAACCGAAGTGAGTCATGCAAATCTAGTATTTGCTATACCAATTACAAATATAAATTATCATATAATTTAAGAATGATTTGAACGATCAGATCTTTCACGATCCTTTTCACGATCTTCAAAAAGCGGTACGCGATCTTTCACGATCCGAAATATCAATTTTTTGTAAATGCTTCAATTTGTGCAAAATTTCTGATTATGCTAACACAAAGTAATTTTGAGAACCATTTGAATCATTAAAACGGAATGACATTTTTAAAGAAAAGTAGTTTAGTCATTCGAATTATGAAAAAAAATCATGTTATTTACATTTTTGATGTCATTGAAATGTCGAAGAGCAATCTGCCTTTTGTAGTTTTGAAAACCGTGTACTTACTTTTAAACCTTGATTTTTCTCAGATACTGATCATAATGATGAACCATTTTGACAGACAGTTTTATTTTTTATGAATTTGTCCGTATAATTCATTAAATTAGATTAGTTAATGATCTTGTATATGTCTTCTCGATAAGATTTCCTTCACGATCCTATACCAGAGCTTTCCCGATCCAATCGCAATACTTGACCACCGTTAGGTATTCTTTCACGATCATTTTTCTCGATATACCGACTGACAGCCGTGATGCAGTTCTAAATATGTAATAATTCATTGATTATTTAAGGAAATACTAAGTGCATCTTGATGTTATGTATTTACGCCTGGAAAACCAGCAAATAATTGTCAATCTGTGAATTTGTTGTTAGATAGGAGAATGTCATGACATAGATATATAACTGAATGAGAGCTTGTCTCCTTTATTTCTCGGACCAATGCGATTTAAAATGACATCGGAATGACTTTTCTCCCGCAGGTAAGTGCGGCCAGCACAGTCAGTTATTGACAAAATGACAGTGAGATCACCAATAAAGCTAACGTATATATCCTTTTGAAACATTGGTTAAACCTATACTAACATATAATAGTGAAATATGTTATATGGACACTTATATTCAATTTTATAGAGCTAAACTGCGAGGTAACAAAAATAAAGTAACACCAGACGTCATTGATTTTATCACTATTTTAGAAAAAAACCGCTGCATTTTGTTAAGCAAGCACTGGGAACAAAAAGCTCAACAAAAGTCAAAAGCTGTAAGAAATGAACTAGGACTTCTGCCATTAGAAAGCAGTCGTTTCTTTTATTAAAGAGTCATTAGAACTGAGGAAAGGAGCCTTTAACATGTATCTTAATATTGCTGAGTTTTTCTTATGTTTGCTTTGTGTCTGTAATTGGTTCTTGTTTGTTTTGCAATAAAGAATTTAATATGTATGTTCGTATTCTGTTTAATCAATATAAACGTATAATAACAGTTTTTTCTTTTTCTTTTCGAATATTATTTGATTTTATAGCTAAATATGTTATAAAGTATGTCAGGTTGAGATTGTCAAGTATCGGTTGTGATATTCTGGAACAATGTTGAGATCTTCTGTTGAATAAAACTTTCCACTAGCTAAGTGTCAATCGGTTACGACCGTCAAAATTGATGAACCTATTGTATATTGGTTGTAATTTTAACTTGTACCTAGTTTCGACATTAGTTTTGTATGGAATCCTATTGGTCTTATACAGATACCAAAGAGTTGTAGTTGTGTGTGTGTTTTTTTTTTTTAAAGTCTAGCGAACGAGATGTAGAGTATAGCGCTTGAGATTTAAATGACTGTTGGTTGCTTAACTTCCAGTGGCAAATGTTTCATGCATGTTCAGGACGAGAAAAAATTTACAATAAATACAAACAGGTAGGCCCTGTAATAGGGGTCTACTGGGATCAAGGGCGGTAAATTTGGACTTCCACTTGAAAATGAAAGTAACTTGGATAGGAACAGAAATTTAGTTGGCAACATGCTATGTACGGACCCCTCAAAGAGTTGTTGCAATCGGTTCTTTACGTGCAGAGGGCATGACACTCTTCCCACACGATGTAACATACTTGTTGCAATGGTTTCTTTAAGTGTATAGAGCGTGGCAATCTCTCTACACGAGGCATCGGATTTAGCTGTCACATTCTGACCGGACGTGGCTGCGAATTTTTATACATGCCATACAACCAAACGGACGCCCCGCCTTGGCAAGGATTTTACTGCTGGTCGGTAGAAGACCAAGAGTGACCATATCTCTAATCCCCAGTCACCGTTGATGTTCTTAATATTTAATATCTAGCGTTGAAGATGTAAAGTACGGCGCTGGAGATGTAAATTCTAGCTCTGGAGATGTAAAGCCTAACGCTCCTTTAAGATATATAAAGTCAAGCGTTGGAGATGTAACGTCCTGTGCTGTAGATCTAGACGTACAACCTTGTTGATGCAAAGTCAAGTGCTGTAAATATAAATTCTAACA